CGTACAGCCTGGTGACCGGGCCCAGAGTGTCGAGGAACTTATCCTGACAGTTGCGTAGCGAGTAATCTAGGCCCTTTCTGGGATTCCAACCAGTCTTGGCCAGAAACTGCACAATTTGCGGGTCAACATCAGGGGTTTTTGCCACTGCATCAGGTATAATAGGACGGGGGCATTCCGCTCTCAGTTTGTTACGACCCTCTTGTGAGAGGGATTTGCGGACTCTGAGGGCCAGGTATTGAGCGATGTGCTCAGCAGGCTCCCATTCAGCGGAGCAAGGGTGCCTGAGATTGTCTGGCTCAAACGCCAGGGTATCCTTTGCGTCACGGGTTGACTCTGCCTCAGGAGTCCCTGACTGTACTTTGGCCTGAGCCGGTCTAGAAGGGAATTGTGTTCCCGGGAGAACCTCATCTCCTGAGGTCTCCTCCCCGTAGGGATCTGAGTACTGGTCATCTGACCCTTCTTCCCCATCCTCGTCTGAATCAGACAATAAATCATGGGCCCGTGCCTGTTTCTACTCTCTGGCCGCCGTAGCCCAGCCAGTAGCTCTATTGCACGGTTGTTGCGCGCCATCATTGACAGAATGAGGCGTGTCAATCAAACCAGGCTTTACCTGGGCGTGGGTCATGAGCGTGCTTGCGCTTGCCTAGCGCCTTGAGTCCTGAGGTAGTCCCTTCAGGGGAAGTATGAGACTGTCCTGGCCCAGATTGAGCAGGGAGGGCCTGCCTAAGGGCCTGGGAGATGGACTGTGAAATACTGGAGGACATAGCTCCCATGGCAGAGGAGATGGCCTTGCTAATGGAGTTGGACATAGTGGCATCCAGGAGGCTTTGGAAATCCTCAGAGCCTATAAGGCTAGGGTCAGCCTGGGGATCAGAGCTTGTGGTGCCCCTAGGGGGGATAGGGTGGTCAGTTAAATCACCACTAGCAGACTGCATGATGGCAGAAAAAGGAGTAGGCAATAGGTATAAAGTAAGTAGGTAAAGAAGGTGCTGGATTGCTTAATCCAAGCACAGGACAGAGTTGCAGAGAAAATACCCGGGTCCTGTGTGGGTGGCAAGAGCAGTGTCGCGTGCAGCCTCCACAGAACCGAAAACCGCAGTGGAAGGTGACTTAAAATGGCCGCCGGCACATGCGGCGATAGAAAAACCAACAAGATGGCCGCCGCGCGTGTTCCGCGCATGCGCGGAGAAAATTAAACTGAAAGTACCCGCCGGGTTGTACAGCCGACAGGGGCCTGGGGGGCCAGAAAAACGGTCGGGGAGGGCTAGGGGGGGGACACGGGATGGACCCGGTCGGTACAGGGGGGGGAGCCAAGGCAACCCAAAGACAGGGGAATAGAGACAGCCCTGAACCCACTCCAGGAACATACAGAATAGTAATACAGTAAGGAGGAATCTATTAGAGTATGAAAGAACATCAACAAGCCCTTAATAGTAAAAGGGGATAATCAAAGTAATTACAAGTGACAAAAACTGTACAACAAGTAAGGGAGTAAAATGCACTTAGCTGGTCTGAGGGAGCAGCAAAGAAAGAGGAAGAGAGTGCTACACCTTATTTACTGAAAGGGGGTGGTTCCCATTATGTAGCATCGTTGAATATGTATATATGCTAATGATATGCTATTTTTTCTCTTTTACATTCATTTCTCTCTTCACTGCTGAGGGAAAATTAAAGAAAGAGAAGCATAATAGGAGCCTCTGTGTCTTTAATAAAATTGGATTGGGCATGCCTGATCGAGTCGCACATGTCTAGTTAGATCTCTTTTCTTTGTAACATCACGGGGGAGGGCTCCAGTGTCAGTTTCTCTCTCCTGCTACTGCAAGATGATACCTTGTTTCTGTCATTAGTGGGCTGGTTTAAAATGGAGATGTGTAGGTAGGAGGGGGGGGGAGGCTGAAAAAAAACACCCCTACTGAGAGATGTGCCCACAAATGCAAACTGACCAAGTTTATAGTAAGTTTATAAAGGTTTATTACCTGCTTTTCAAAGTTTTTATTGCTGTATTTAGGTTTGTATATTTGTTTAAAAGTATGTGTTTTGATTGCTGATTTAAAAAAATAAATAATTGTCAAGTGATTCGTGTCCTTTTAAGTACATCTGTCTGTCAACACAATACATCATAGGGAGGAAATAGAGTGTATAAAACATGCTTGCTCAACAGACATTTGAATGGAGAACATGTAATCTCAGTGACTTTGAACATGGTGTCATGTCTACTGCCTTTGATACTGCCGTCTACTCTCTCCTTCAAACTTTTGACTCTGTAACACTATGCTTTCCTGGTTCATCCTATATTTCTGAATGCTCATTTAGAGACTCTTTTCTGGTGCCACCTCAACCCAGCTGCCTGTTTCAGTTTGTGGTTCCCATGACTCGGTTTTTGGTCATGCTTTATACTGCATCTATACTACCTCTCTCAGTAGCCTTGTTAACACCATTGGATTTCAGTACCATCTACATGTTGACAATCCACATGACCTGACATCTGCTTGTTCCCATATTGCCAAGTCATAAGATTTTTCAGTTTTCTTTGGAATTTATTTTTACATTACAAAACATCCCTGTCTTGCTTTCTTTATTTCCTCTTTTGTGAATTTGTAACAAAATTGTATCTGAAAACGTTCATATATAGGATATATTATCCTTCGTGAAATACAAGATCTTCGTGAACTGTTATTTCAGACACTACTTTACCAACTTACTACTCATAGGATAGGAACAAGTTATGTCACAGTGGTGGCAATTTAGATCTTCATTATAATTTTTGTGTGTGTATGTGTCGACCATCACAATAGACAGATTGGAAGATTTCTGCTAGTTTTGGTACACGTTAAATCAAGCTGTCAGTCCCTGATTACATCAATCTGTTGTTTATAATATATAAATAAGTGTTGGTAGGGCAGTAACACATTTTGTTTTCAGGAACAGTTTGATTAGATCATCATTTTCAGAAAATTGAGAAACCAATTAACACAAGTGAAAGCTTATTCCTGACAGCAATAAAATGCCATGTCTTCGGCTTTTCACGTTTGAAGACTACTTAAACCGTTCAAGAATGGTATAACCCATTAAGGTAAGTGTGCCTGCGGCCTCCCATCACCATAACTTAATATAGATGACATTATGGTGACGAAAGATTCCCTTAAAAGTAATTTTTTTTTGGTCATAGACCTATTATCGTTTATTAGAGACAATATTTAGCAATTTACTGATAATCTATCAGCATTGTAATTTACTGATAACTTACTCACCTCTCCCAGTCACCACATGCTGTCTTCTGCATCAAGAAATTCTAGCTGCCAGCCAACCATTCATTTTATTTTCTAACATCAAGCATTTTTGTAAGTCCCCCACATGCAGAGCTAAGCTGAAAACAGAGAGTTGAGAATAATATAATCTACAGTAATGTACTGGGCTGGTTGAAAGAGGAATAGGAGTATGATTACTATAATTAAATCACATTTCCGATCAGTAACAGCACTGTACATGCTGGGATCCTAGCATGTACTTGCTGCCTGAGAGGGATTGCCATCAGCATGTTCAGTTAAAGCAGCACTGTCACCATTTGGGGGCTTTGCCAAATTAAAAAAAATGAAATGTTAACATACCTGAACAATGCAGTCAGTCATCAGCTCCGCCATATTGGTCTGGGCCTCATCGGTGCGGACATCACTGCTGTACAGCATTGAGATCTATGGGGGATCCTGTGAGATCCTCCATAGACAAAGCTAATCCTCTGCAGTCGCTGATGACGACTGCAGGAATTGACACTTAGGCTTGACTGGGTTGGAATTTCAGTGAAATTCCAAAACACAGTCACATAAATTAGTATTTCATAAAGATTCTATAATTTTTCTTGGGAGGATTAACAAAGCCACTTTAATGACAGATTTGTGTGGATATTGTTACCTTTATCAAAACCTTTAAATGTACAGAATATTCGCGGACGCATATTCAAGTAGATGATTACCAATAATTTGGGTGAGGGGAGGGCATTTTTATTTTAATATTATATATTATTTTAATATTTGCATTATTTTTATTTTTTTTGTTCCCCCTCCCTGACCAGGCAACAAACAGGGAGGGGGGACAAAAAAACCATTTAAAAAAACTAATGCAAATATTAAAATAAAATAATATTTTAAGATTATTAAAATAAAATAATATTGAATCCCTGGTGGTCCAGTGGCATTGGCTGTTCAGTGGGGGAGCTGACAGTGAGCTGTTACTTACCTTCCTGCAGCTCCCTTCTCCTCCGTGCAGCTCCTCTGTCAGCTCCGTTCTGTTTACAGTGTAAGTCTCGCGAGACCGGCGGCTTTCGCAAGACTTACACTGTGAGCAGAACGGAGCTGACCGGACCGGAGGAGAGAGAAGGGAGCTGACGGAAGGTAAGTTACAGCTCGCTGCCAGCCCCCAACAGGACCGCCGGGCGGTCCTGGTCTGTATTATGGCAATGTAAATTGCCATAATACAGACTGACTCGAGTATAAGCCGAGGAGGGGTTTTTCAGCACAAAAAATGTGTCGAAAAACTCGGCTTATACTCTAGTATATACAGTGTGTGTTAAAAAAAAATAAAATATATATATATATATATATATATATACACACACATGCATACATACATACACACATATATATATATATATATATATATATATATATATATATATACACACACACACACACATACATACACACACACACATATACATACATACATACACACACACATATACATACATACATACATATACATACACACACACATACATATCCCCACAAAAAATACCTTTGTATGTAACACCTCCACTGTTTAGTTTTCATTCCTAAAATGTACATGTCAGAGTAAGGCTAACCACATTTTTCTGGCACAATACCCCTTAAATTTACATTACTCTTTTAAAAAAAAAAAAAAACACACTTCACATTAAAAGGTTTTCCAAATACTATCCACCATTACATGCACAGATTGTCAAAAACTGATGCAAGAAGCTAGAATACTTTGCTGGCCTTAAATTTTATTTCTTTTTAAATAGGGGCACCAATAGTACATAAATAGTATGCAAAATTCATTTTTTTCCAGAGAATTGAGATACTACATGCTATATTTTCATGCAGGCGTGAAACAAAATTCAGTAAAAACATACAGTAAAAGTCAAAGAAAAAGAAAATTAAAAAGTCTAACATACACAACCTTAAACTTACAGTAAATGTACCATAATTACTTTCCATGCACGCTTTTTTAGCATTTCAAAAAAAATAAAATAAACGGTTTAACTTTTTATATTAAAGCCGTTCCTATTTGTTTCATAGAAGATAGGTCAAGCACTTTGAAAATACAAATTCCTATACACAGTGAGAACTTTCCTTGAAATTAAAATATTTTGGGCTTGGTATATAAAGGGAGTGAAGATCAGGCTAAAAGCCCATTAATATGCAGGATAAACACGTGACAATGCAGACCATAAACTATAGTTCTAAACAGTTCTCTAAATGTATTACAAAAAATTGATGACTTTAAATAGACCATTTCTAGATGATAATAAATAAAAAGAAAAATACTGCATATTAAATACTCCACTAAAGAGGATGCAATCCAGAACATTTATAAATATTTTTGCAACATTCTCATTTAAGAATATCTATGAAGAATAATGCTGGCTTAAAAGAGGTGCATGATGAATAGCACTACAAGTGGCTAAACAAGTGGCCACATCCTGCTGTTACCTTGAGGTAGATAACACATGCATACCAAAATCTGCATTCTTCAGTTGCTGCTGGTACCATGTGTTTAAGAAATGGATATAAAAAAAAAATTTAAACAATGTTTTAAGTTTCGAGCAAAATAAAATGTAAAACTACCCCTGACAGTTACATGCAATTAAGTAATGTCTCACTGTGTTAATACCAAGGCAAGATCAATAAAGTTTGGAAAACATATTAAATTGATTTTCTTAATCTTCGTTTAGTGCATTTATCCTGTCTCTGCCCACATTTTGCATTTGTTGTTTTTTTTCTTGTGTGCAAATGCCATGCCAGTTTAAAATTAATGTGTAGAAAGTATTTCTCATAAAAAAAACTAAACTAAATACATACTAAAATTACAATTCAAGTAAAAAAAGAAGAAGAAAATAAAATAAGACATGGAGGGTAGACAAAAAAAAAAAAAAAGTGTTTAGTTTAGATGTTTCAGAATGCTGCTATAGGTTTTGTGAGGAATTTGAGGGGACGATTTTAGGGCCAAAGGTACAAATGTAGCTTGTATTGATTTAAGGGGTGAGCCAACAGGGTTATGAAATTGAGGAATACCTATGCAATCAAGCTGCTTATTAAGAAGGATATCCCCACTAAAGCTCAGTATGCCTTCTTCATTTTCTTTACTCCCCAGCTTTGGATCCTCTACTGGCTCAGTTTCTAACACTTCTGCCTCCATTTTCTTGCTGAAAAAATCATCAAGGTAACTTGTATAAGGCTTTTCTTTTTCAACATGATCATCTTTCCTAACTTCACAACAAAACTGGTCTATCAGAAAGCAGTCTTCACCATTTACAAGTTGACTGTCCCAAGAAGTTTGGGTTAAGGCACCTAATTGTGCTAGGTTGGCCATTCCTTTTTCCTGCTTTTCCCGACTTACAGACTTCGACAGCATGGTTTTTAATTCAAGTTGTGTCATGGAGCTATTCAAATCATTCAGTTTGTCAACACTAGGAGAATCGTGTTGCAAGCTGAGCTCAATTGTACCAGCTATAAAGGAATCAAAATCAAACTGGGGCTGTCTTTCCCTTTCCTTCTCTACCTTCTGCTGTGAAGCATCTGCAAGTGCTAACTGAGCCTTCACTAACCCATTTCTTTCACATTTAGATTTGCCCTTTTTATCTGCCTTCTCCTTACTTTGCTCCTTCCAGTTAGAAAGATCTATAATAAGTTTTGGCTCATAATAATGGTTAACTTCACTCTCTCGCCAAACTAAGTTATCTAGATAAGATGATGCCCTTGATTTATAATTACAAGTGTGGCTACATTCCAGATCACAATATTTGTTTTCATGATAGTCTGGGTATTGCCAGCAAGGCTCAGGAGAAAAGTATGGATCAAATGCAGGATCTTCCAGGTATTTTTCACGGTCGCCATCTAAGTATTTGCGAGGATCTACTTGAACCTCTTCTTCATCACTGCCATCAGAGAGAGCCCTTGGGTCGCGCTGAACCTCTTCAGCTTCAAAATTATTATGTATAGGCCAATCGTGGTCTGAAAACTGGCATTCATGGAATCTGTAAGACATTACAGAACTTTAAATCTCATAACTAATTACAGAAGTCAACAAAAAGCAAACGGGAGAATGCGACACGCTTCTTATACAGCAAATTATTTAACCAATAAATAAGATACCTCCCAATGCGCAATTAGGCAATTCCCTTGTAAATTAACTACAACCCACAGTTTAGTAAATATATTCCACAGTGTGGATTTTGTGGGGAAATCTTATTTTTCTTCAATGGCGTTGAGATCTGGCTAAGATATGCAGTCATCACAATAGGGTTCATATTAGCTTCCTTCACACACAGAATTTCACGGATCACAGGATTTTAGCAGAATTTCAACATAGCTGCTCCAAGTGGTGCAGGAGCAGTGAAGTACTCACAAACGTTATGTTTTCAAAAACAATGTAATGCTATATAGTAGCACCAGTTCGATATATAACATTTGACTAGTCACAATTGCTGCAGACCTTAGATATGGTAGAAATGTGTGCATTACCTTTCCCAGGTATATATGTGGCTGTGACTGTGACTGTCATCCATTAACAAGATATCATCCACTTCGTCTTCAATGTGAAATGGATGGCTGGAAATAGGCTCATCGGTTGGGAAGGAATACATGCTCATGTATGGGTGAGACAAAGCTTCTTCTGCTGTTAGTCTATCCATAGGACTGAAGGTCAAAATTTGTTCAAGGAAATCCAGTGCTAATTAAAGAAAATGAAATGCAGAAACAAACATCAGCTTACAGTTTGCAAAAAAAAATTTAAAAAATTGTAACAGCAGATTGAATAAATGAACACGTTTGTGGCTTGGTTTTCTTCTGAGTTAAACATTTACCTTCAGCACTGATGCCTGGAAGTAATTGTGTTAGAGGCTTATGTGGCTCGGTCATATCTTTTTTGATGTAAACTGGGATTACATTGAGGAGCTCCTGTCGGTCTTCTTCATGTACAACTGGTATGGATTCGAGAATCAGCTGCATCTGTTCAAGCTCATGAGCCCCTTAAATAGTTAAATAAAATAAAAAAAACACAACAGATGTAACAAGGATAGTTGGCTATTTCAAAGTATTCACAATCACCAATGAACGCACATTCTCCTTTGGAAGTTTGTATTAAAACACATGAGAGTTTAAGAGTATACTTGGTTTGCATAATATATATATAAAAAAAAAAAAAAAAAATATTCAAATTGTTTAAATGTTTTGTTGATTGTTAACAGCAAACAGTCTTCATGTTTTCTCTGGGAATAAATGCAATTTAGATATGTGTTTACGTCACATGTGCTTAATCTGCTACAGCAAATTGAAAAAATAGTTTACCAGAATATACAACAAAAGGAGGATCTGTAAGGTATAAAAAAAAAAAAAAAAAAAAAAATTTAAAGGTATTTAATTTGCCTCCATTTTATTTAACTTACTAAAAACAAAAGTAATTCATGGACTTAAAGCTGCCCTGTCACTTGAGGGGTCATTTTTGGCAAAGATGTGTGTGTGTGCGCGCGCACGCACGCACGCACGCAAGCAAACCAAGGAGCAGCTATGAAGGCAAGTTAAAATGGCTATTTTAGCACCAAAAAGACATCCTTTGATCTCTTCAGGTCACGTTATGTACAATATTTGATTATGAAAAACCATTCTTTATGTACAATATTTGATTTTTTTCATAATCAAATATTGTACATAACATGTGACCAAGAGGTCAAAGGGTGTCTTTTTGGCACCAAAAGTAAAGTAATTCTGCCACCATACTTCTGCCTGAGTCTAGTCCGTTGTTTTCTTAGCGCCTATCCATTTTTGTGTTTTCCGATTACTAATTGTGTCTTTACATACCTGCAAAAAGTGTTTTCCCAGTTAACATTTCAGCAAATATGCATCCAGCAGCCCACATGTCAATTGCTTTAGTGTAATTATTGGGAGAAAGTAAAAGACGAGGAGATCTGTACCATTTTGTAACAAGTCCTTCAGAGAGATGTCCCTAGAGAAACAATATGTATATTAATGAATGTAAAATGGCTTTTTTATAGCATTAAAACAAACACTTAAAGTGACCACATGAATTGCAAAATATTGTTAGCATAGCAAAATGAATCTCTTTTCCCATTATTTGTAATATGCAGTTTCTATGAATTTATGCATTTATAAACTATAAAAGCATTGTCAGATATTACTGTACTATTCATAGTAATGATCAAAAGCAATATAGATAATGTTATTGCACTTAAATTGTATAACAGGATACTGCTATAACAAAAAAGTAGGTATATTTGACTTCATGATTACTAGAAATGTCATGTAGCTTCCTGTAAGCACCCTAATTATTTCAACGTATGAGGCAAGCACAATACAAGTAAAAGCTTGACTGTTTGGCGGCATTCCCATGATGTAAAGTTACACTAGAACTCGATTTAGTCTCCTATATCAATGTAATGGACTCTAGACAGCATCATCTAGGAGAGTTGCCATGACAACCAGCATACTATTGTCTCAGTAAGAAATCCTCTAAGTACACTGGACTGAATTTAGTACAGTATTGAGGGAATGTCTTTGCAACATATGCAGCCTTAGAGGGATTCCCTCAGCCCTAAGACTGCATGTTCGAATATCAGAAGCAGACAAGCTCATGAGGAGAGATACTAAAGAGATGGATTCAGCACGCGAAAGTATTTTAAAATTATTTCAGATAAGAAGACTATATTTAACACACCTAAATAATGTGTTCATTTAATAAAAAATAAAAAAAAGTGTGGCAGTGTGTTCTTGGATAACTGATGCAGCAATAGAAATCCCCATTGAGATGGTGCAGTAATTAACAATTACAACAGGATGTGCAAACAACTCAATAAATCCCAGAAGTCCTAGTTATTTAGAACTTAATTCTGACAACTTTAAAAGGAAATCCAGGCCAAAATAGAAGCATCTTCTAGAACAGGGGTAGGCAACCTTTTAGTAGCATTGTGCCGATATAGGATTGTGATGTCCCGTAGCGTGCCGGTCCTATTTTTTTTAAATTGAGGCTACATCCGGAGTAAAATCCCGGGATGATAGTGACATCACGCCTTGTAGGATGTGCATTAGATAAGACACTTAACCAATTAAGGATGTATTCTCTCTGTTGTCTACATTTTTGCATATGATGTATTTTTGCCTTTATAATGGGCTTGCCACCCCCTGAGTAAACATTCCAAAGTTTTTCATTAACCGGATACCTGTGTCTCAGTGTGATTTACTTCAGAGCGTGCATGCGTTTATTTTAACAATTTGGAAAGGCTCAGATAAACACTTAGTTTAAACCACAATATCTGTGTATATCTAGCAGTATGGTTGGCTTCCCTGGGTTCCAGTGGGGACCAGGCTGGCCCGGTACAGGTCAAAGACAGAGGCTGCTCTACTACGGTGTGGATTCCCATTCACAAGTGCTTGGAGGAAGTGATCTGAGATCATTTCCTCTATGTGCTGCAATGCTTAAATTGAGGATTGTCCTTCACCGTCTTTTCATATTAGCAGATATTTGAAGTTTTACTGGGACTCCTGATAGGCCAGAGCCTGTTTGGCTCTAGCAGCCTTGAGTGCCGTGCAAAGACACCTCGAGTGCCGTAGGTTGCCTACCCCTGTTCTAGAATATTGTTGGTTATATAGTGCATAAAGAACAAAAATATATAAAATCACAGTGCCACTATATAATAAAAATAATGAATGTTTCTTTCTTTTTAGACCTTGGGACAGCCTTAAAAACTGCCTTGTTGCAGTTAGTAACAGTAATGACTGCACTCAAATTAGATTAATAATCTTAAACAAATGCATCAAAATCACTATAAGTGCATAGGTCAGTCAGTGAGGTAACTGGCACAAAACACGGAACTGAAAAGGAGTCGTGCACAACCTAATAGCTTACTTTCTATTCAAGTAGAGAGTATTCTTAACAAGCCTCCCGTATTTATAAATACATAAAATAGATTTTCACTCCTAGTTTCTTTATAGCATTTACTTGAAAAGTGGCTCTGCTAAAAACTCATCTACACAGCTGTTTATTCATGCAATCATCAGATGCACAAACCAGAAAAATGGATAAAGCGAATTTGCAAAAAAAATCTTACTGTGACATCACAGCTGGGGGTCCGGTGGCTATAGCTGGCAGGGAAAAGGTTTCCACTGTTCTATATTAAAGTCTTACGCTACAGTTTGGCCTAAGAAGACATAAAATAGACACTAAACAACTTTAGCTTAAAGGGACACTATAGTCACCAGTGCAACTACATGTATTCCTGACCCTAGTGTTAACACGACCATCTAGCCCCCCTGGGCCCCTTATGCCTCCATAAATATAGTAAAAATCTTCCTGTATTCAAGCCAGAAGCTGTAAATCTGCATGCTGTTAGACTCAGGAAAATCAAGCAGTCTGCTGACATGTGGTAGCCTGATCCAATCACAGTGCTTCCGCATATGATTGGCTGAGACTGACAAGGATGCAGATCAGGGGCAGAGCCAGCATGATTCAAACATTGATTCATTGAATCAATGAATCTCTATGAGGAAAGTTCAGTGTCTGCATCCAGTGGGAGGAGATACTGAATCCCAGGATGCTCGTGCACAGCAGATCTGAGTGGATGGAGGCATATTATGCCTCCATCAACTCAGAAGTCCCTCTGGTTCACTCTGAGTGACTGCAACTGGAGGTGTTCCTATCTTTTAATATAAACACTGTATTTTCTCAGAAAATACAGTTTACATGAGAAAGGCTGCAGGGAGCTATAGTTCTCACCTGAACAACCTCATTAAGCTGAAGTTGTTCAGGTGACTATAGTGTCCCTTTAATAAAGCAATTTCTTGTTAAGATCATGCCCCTCCAGTCTTACTGCTCAATTTATCTACCATTTAGGAGTTAATAGGACACTGAACAACTAGAGCACTTTATCGTGCTGAAATGCTGTGTGTGAGAAAAGTGTCCTCTTTCTTTTTATTTTACAAAATGTGCTGATTTCAATAGAAATTGGCACTTTTATAAATTTAACTTGTTACACTCCCCTGGCTGTCAACTGAACAACCAGTCCTGGTAGTTTAGTGGAGTTAAACTCAATAGGCAGGCAATGTAACAAAGAGAGCCTTGCAAAGACTTCTCAACTGAGCTGCCTTAGGTAGTCTGATTGGATAGCCACAGAAAGTCTGGGCAAGAATGGGAGGGCTTGCTAAGGCAGCAGACAACAGATACTGCAGCTGTTTTTAGAGATACCCAATAAAAAAAAATGCCTAAGTAAATGCATGCATGGTTTTTTTATACCTACTACATTTTTTATATTTGGGCAGTTGAGAATTCCTTTAAGTGACATGGTTTATGATATCCTAGCCAGACATCCTCTGGCTCTGACTCATACAGCCTCCATGAAAAATTGTTAATTTTCAATTTGATTTTGCAGCACAGGATGTTTACTTTAAGAGTTTTTATTTCCTGCTCTGTTAATTGAAGTGTAATCACAAGCAAAAATGTTGTTGCATGCTGTTAACAGAACAGGAGACAGGACATTGTAAATCAAACAATGGAAGCTAAGATAAACAAATAAACAAAAGACGTTTCAGGAAGTGTGCAGGGAGGCTGTGTGAATTTCAGCAAGGGCAGGTGTGGCTAGGGCTGCATAAGCATGCCAGACCTAAATGGCAGAAAACTAAACAGAATTGGCACAATTACACATAAATACCCCTTCTATTAGCTAAAGTTGTTGTGGTGCTTTAAATTATCCTTTAAGAGAAAACTGTAGCAAGTTTGAGAAAATGAATATCTACACAGAAAACATTTTAAAGCCACTGGGTATTAAGATAAGGCAACGTTGAACAATAAAGTACAGATACATAATTTTACTGCTTCTGTTTGCCACAAAATTCTTCAATGCACTGAGCAGACCTGGCATGCATTTAGATGCAATTGTGTTTGGTGTAACATTTCATTACTAACCTTATGGGAATAATGTGGATCCATAATACGTGCTAGGCCAAAATCTCCAATCCTCACCACCAAATCTTCGGTGTTAATGAAAAGGTTTGCTGGCTTGAGATCTCTGTGCAGCACATTGGCCGAGTGGATATATTTAAGTCCACGCAACAGCTGATACATGAAAAGCCTGGCATGTTCTTCTCGCAATGGGCCTTGCTCTAGTAGCTTGGACAGATCAGTCTCCATGTACTCTTGAACGATGTAAACACAGTTCAGCTCAGTTAGGGAGCCCACATCATCAGATAGGCAACATCCATTGGGACCAAGAATTTCAAAAACTTTCACGATGTTTTCATGGTCAAGTCTCCGGATAATTTTAATTTCACGCAAAGCATGCTTGACGCTCTGAGGATCTGTCAGAACTATTTTTTTGACAGCCACCCGCTTATCACAGTCATTATCAACAGCAGAAAAAACTAAGCCATTCCCACCATAGCCAAGGGGTTTTAAGTCCATATAGCGAGAGCCCAAGTCGAAACCATGAATGTTCATGAGGCTTTCAAATTTTTCTGCCATTTTGGTGACTTCACTTCCTTCTTCTCAAACTTTTAGTTCTGACTAAACGTTTGAGAAAAAAACCAGTGCTGGTATTTCAAGAAAAGATTTCATAAAGAGAAACAATCCAAAAAAAATTGTGGGAGAAAAAAAAAAAAATATTTAAATATAAAAATAGACAAAACAAAAAAAAAAAAAACTAAATTCTTCTTTTGGATTGATTCTTCCTATTTTCATTGCATATCATCAGCCAGCCAGGCCTGGTGTATCCCACAAACAACAACCCCAATGCAAAGCAATTTGGAGGGTAAGAAAATTGAAGTATTCATAGTTCACACAGGATGCAGCATTCTAGCAGACATCAACAAAAACACTCAAGGAAACTTGAACGGAATGAAATGACATACTATGCACTTAACTCTAGTGTGCAAAAAAAATTAACATTTAACAAAAATGTGAATAAATATGCGCAAAATAGGCTTTTATTAACATCCTCCTCACAGTGCAGATACATTCAGTGTTGAACTGGTCCTGAGCAGCGTCATTCTATGGTGCTGGTAAGCACTATAAATTATTTTAAATGTGTTGTTTGAATACAGTGCAGTTTAAGAGGAAACCGTGGCAGAACTTGATTTAAAGGTGCAACCTTCTGTTAATGATCAGGTGGCTCCAGCTCACCACAATCACAATCAAAGCTGCCATCCATCTTACACTCAAAAAACCTAAAGAAAAGAGAAATTAGAAGTAAATAGTTGGTTAAACCATCTAAAATGTCCCATTACAGCTTACAATCCCAGTACAAAATATGTAAAAATATTATTTTCCTACATTACATATCAGGCATTCACCAAAAATAAAGCATCCAGTGTCCATTTCCTATAGCTAGGTTTTGAACTTGCCTGTGTTTTTTCAGCAGGTGGAGCTATCTTCCTCTGTATACAACTTCCACTGTTATCTTAAGTAAGCGTTAACCGTAAAACGTGTCTGGTAGTTACAAAATAAGCTTGCAATGACGTGTACTGTATTGCATTGTAAAAACCATTGTTTAGGGATGAAAAAAATAAATAAATAAATAAATAAATAAAATAAAAAAAACCACCCAATAGCAGTACTTCTAGAAAACACACAGTATGACTTAGCACTGACATCATGGCTTTAACAGACCAAATGAGTGCGTGCATACTCTCCTAATTATGATTAGGCTTTGTACTGAACACGTGTGGCACCTTGCCATACCAATGGTACTCATGATGCTCTTTCAAAAAAGCGCAAGTGACAAATCCAACCACTTGCCATAAATAAAACAAAAAACCCAAGCATTTCCAAGTGATTTTGGAAATATATCTCATTTGTTAACTATGCCCTTTACCAGTGTAAAAAATATGTGGTAAACAATAAATGATTATATTCGATACACATTCATTGCTTACACCAACAAATACTAATTTTAAAGTATAGTGTATTTATCCAACTTAAATGTGAAAGGTCACACACACACACACACACACAACTTTCCATCGGTGGGTTCAACAGCAAAAACAAATCGCACACAGGTAAATCTAGCATGTCTAAAACAAGTAGCTACAGGAAACACTGTAAACATCCTTAATTCAGTCATGTTTCCTTTGTAGAAAGATGCAAATGGCATAACTTACAAGTCTAGCAACGGGAGACTTCGTAAACAAAGGTATTATGAATAAACTATAGTACTGAATTGCTGCATAGAGCCTTAAAACAAAAAAGTCAAAGGAAAATAATGTACCCATCATAATAGGCATGTCCAATCAAACATTTCTCACTGTGATTAGACGGTTCCACAGATCTATGTGAATAAAAATATTACATACAGGTAGATTGTAAAAGAATAAACCATTCTTTAAAAACTTGTATGCACCAAGACATTCTAAGTTCAAAACAGAGCCTTGAATCTCCGGTATTTGCAATTAGAAAAAATAAAAACAGAAATAGTTACTCTGACAAAGATGTTTTGGACTTTGTCAACCAATAATATAACAATAGGTGTCTGCTATATGAAATGCAGGCACTATACTAACAGTGCACAAATTTGAAGCTTACCCCCATATTCACACAGAGAAAATACCAGGATAGAATATTCCTTACCATTTGGTGAAATTATTTCACAACTAACCCAGGTCAAACACAAAAATATAGCTACCATGACAGCTTTGACAACATCAATGATGTCTGGCCTTGTAGCTACTAATCAGTTGGGATTTCCAAACATAGATTACTTTTTTGTCATCACACCCATACAAAGAATAATGTTAATCATCCCTATGCCTGCAACAATTAGAAAGTGTTTGGTTAGGAAATAATTTACATATTCATCTATCATGGGAGTGTAAGATGAAAAGTGACAATGCAGATGCCTGAGAACTTCCATTATGCACATGAAGCCTACAGCCATGCTAAATTGCAATTGCAGCTAAGCACTGTGGCATTGCTGTAGTTGAAGGTATTGCTCAGTATATCACAATAGATGAATTGGCCAAGGGGAGCCATCATGCTGTATGTAAATCTCTTTGACTTCAGACTGCAGCCACGTTGCATATTTGGGCAATGTGAGTCACAAGCAGGAACACACTTCTCTGGGTTTCTCCCTACCCTCCCACTCTGGGAGGTATTGCTCACTGCCTGAAACTGCTCATTGATCAATTAAACTACACAAAGGGATCCCATTCCCAGAACAGAGACATACAGTATTCCATGTAAAGCAGATTAAAGGGCTGTACACTGTCAGCTATGGAAGTGACACGTAACATAGAATGTGGGCAAATAAGAACCATTTGGCCCATCTAGTCTGCCCAAGAAATATAAACCATGTAAAAAGACGGTTTTGGGAACTAGGTGGCCAAAGGGTTGACCCACATCTGTTGAAGAACCACAATCCTTGGCAGAGGCTAGCAAGGCATCTAGATCAGGGATAGGCATCCTTCAACACTCCAGATGTTTTGGACTACACCTCACATGACGCTTTGCCTGCATTGTGGCTGTAAGAGCCTTATGGGAGCTGCAGTCCACAACATCAGGACTGCTAAAGGTTGCCTTACCCCTGGTCTAGGTAGATTCATTACAACAGCTGGGAATCTAGCATTACACCAAGAGTGGCCAATGGTAGACCCCCAGCTGTTGCAGAACTACGACTCCCATTGTGCTTCTCCACCATTTCTGCAGGCACGTCATGTGGGGGGAAGGGGGTGTAGTTTCCCACAGCTGGGGGTGTACCTTTTTGTGAAGCCTTGCATTGGCCCACCTTACACAATAATGGAGACCGAGTCACTCCACTCTCCACACTACACATATGGAAATGAGCCCAGTCTGCATTGCGTCACCACATTCTAATCATAGAAAGGGGTGTCAGAACGCTGAGCAACAATTGGTTACAACAGCCTAAACCCCGCCCATTCCCGGCTTCTACACACATACAGCCGGCGGCCCCACGTCTCTCACCGCAGCGTTCTACGGCGCTCCGTATTCACCAAACGCCACTACGCAGACACTATATAGCAGTGAATGGGCAGTTACGCATTCTACGTCAACCCGGTGTTCTCTCACCTCCTCACAATCGTCCCCTGTGCCAGAGTGGCGGCGGCCGCGCGTACCGTTAAAACACGGCGGCTGTGTGTTTGGAGAGCGGGCTCTGCGGAGCGGATTAATAAAAGCAGGGGGAGTATCGGGGACACAATGAGCCCCATTATAGGGCAGGGAGGGCGGTATACACGGTGACAAAGGAAGCCCCCACACACAGCCACACACAGCGAGCTACACACCGGCCCCCCGGGGCCAGCACCGGCCAGCCTGACAGGAGACCGGCCTCGGCGCTCACACCGGCAGAGCCCCAGCCCCGATCCCTTTGTTAAGTAGCGGCTGTCAGTCAGTCACACAATGAGCGGCCGGCTCACAGCCGCCACTCACACTCACTGAGCGGGTACTCACAGGTCTCGGCAGCTTCATATGGAGCGGGGATCTGATTCTGTTGAGGATGTGAGGGAGCTCGCTCTCCGCCTGCCCTGTGTGTGCCAGCCTGCTCCTTGCCGCAGTCGCCATGTACTCGGACTAAGAGCTGAGTGGGCGGGAACACGGCGAAACCCGAGCCGACTGACGACGTCACGGGCCACGCCCCCTCTCCCTTTGCAGCCATGGCTACGTCACGCGGGCGGGCACTTTCAAAAAAGCGCCGGCTCGTGCCATTCATGCAAAACAAAACGGCCGCGGCTGCCGTCTCGCGCAGTCAGGTCAGCTGACCGTTTGCGAACAAAATGGCAGCTCCCCCCTGCATGAATAGATGAATGAATGGAGGGGGAGCACAACAGATTGGTGTTAACATGTACAATAAAAAGACAGTGCCCTGTGCAATGACATAACTAAGACACTTATGAAGATTTTAAAATTCTTGGTCTCAACTTGGATAATGGGGGGGGAGATTTACAGGGGTTTTTACTAAAGTGAGAATTCAAAGTGAACTTAAAATTAATCTATAGTTTACAGTACAATTTGTATAGTGTTCAAATCTGTATTCCTAACACTAAAGTGCCCTCCGGTTCCCCCCTCCTCCAGGCATATATATATACTCACCCAATATCCCTCTGCTCTCCACCTCCTCCAACGTCATCTGCCAGGGGGACCCAATGCACATGCAGGGTGAGTACATTACGGCCTCACTATAGGAAAGCATTAAATCAATGCTTTCATATGGGGATTTCACAGACACCGGATGTCCTGATATAGAGGACATGTTGCTGTGCTCCTTCTTATTTTCTTTTATTATTACATTTCACAGCTTGTTTGGGGCCTTGGTCACGACAATGCGGGGGTTTCAGTGACCTGATAAGCATGATAGCATAGAATACCGTCTGGTATTAATACTCGGCTGTACCGAATATGTCTCACTGGCCAATCTACGGGCTACTTTTATAACTGGACTTCTCTCCCTAGCCTGACTCTGTTTAACCTAAGTATCGTCGATGATTAGCAATGGCTGCCTAGCCTGTTAATGTTTCTTGTAATTTTGTCATGCCATATACCGTACTCTTATTGTTTGTATCGTGATATTTACCGTTCATATTGTGGTAATATCTTTTTTGTTATATGTCATAGAATGGCGCACAACCCTCAACATACATGGACACACACATTAACAGACACACACACACACACACTGACAGACGTACAGATACACACTGACATACAGATACATACACATTGACAGACACACACACAATGACAGACATACAGACACACACACACACTGACAGGCATACAGATACACACTGACAGACCTTAATGCTCTCCTGCAACTGTCATTTAAAAAAAGAAAAACACACCAAGTCTTCAGTGAATACTATTCTACCAATCTACTTCCCTAATAATATCCTTACCTTTTGTGTCACTTTACCCCACTCCCTCTTGTGTGGAGGGTGGCTTACCTTGTGTCCAGTCTGCAGCCTGCACCCCATCCTCTCCTGCCTTCTCCTCTCTGCTCCTTTCATGCGGCTCCAGTCTCTCCCAGCCTGGCCCTCTCCTCACAGCCACCTCCCCACTCACATACGGCTCTGGTCTATGGGAGGAGGTGAATCACAGAACTCACTTCTTCCCAGCCGCCTGCTGATAAGCAAGGGGCCCGGTTGTGTTGTTAAAGCGCCACAGAGCTAGACTTGGCCCCTCCTGACACATGCCCTCCGGGTGACCCTAAGTGCATGGGCCACCCTAAGTGTGCAGGCTCCAATACAGCACTGCACTGGCGGTAGTTCCTCGCGAGCCACCTGAAATCTTCTAGCTGGCCACATGTTGTGCAGGTCTGGCCTAGATAAACACCAAAAATTCCTCACTTAGGCTAAATTTCAACTAGATCAGGCCTGTCCAAACTGCAGCCCCCCACTACAACTCCCATGATTCTTTCAATGAAACAGATAGCCAGGGATCATGGGAGTTGTAATTCAGCAACATCTAGGGGGCCGCAGGTTGGACAGGCCTGAAATAAATCATCTGAAATCCAACCAAATGTTTTAAAAAGGTCGCAATTCCTACAGGCAGAGAAAGTACGATGTGACAACATATTTTCTTTTAAATATGTAATAAAAAATGTAATTTTACAAGTTTAGTTGAACAAAAGTATGTAACTTGACATTTGTCTTTTATTAAGGATCTCGGCATGTTATCAGCAATAATGGAACATTAATGTTATTCTACTTAACATCACTAATAACCATGAAAGGTGAATTTAGCTTTTTTTTTAAACTAGTTTTCAAGTACACTCTTAATTTAATGTTGCTCTTTTTTGTCAACCTCAAGAAGATAAAAGTTTTACAATTACAACCTATAACTCTGTGATACCTATTTTTATTTATGTATATACCCCCTTAAAAAACCCAGAAAAGAAACCAAACAAATACAGCAATATTATAATGAGGGGGTTTATCAATATTGTATTTGGCATTATTCTTAGGAAGATGTTGCCATATGAACAGCTATAGCCATATCATGTTTACTACTGTTTATTTTTTTTCTGTCTCCAGTGCAGTTTCATGCAATAAATGATCTTCTTAAAGGGAGAGCTCAATAAGCTAAAATGAGTGATGGGTGAATATATACTGCATACCAGTGTATTAATATTTAATGCTTAGAAAAGCACTTCTGCATGTTCTTTCTAGATTAGTAGTTCATGCTCATTATCCAGCTGTGTACTACTACTCAGTTAAAGTCCAGACACTAGAAAAAATGCTTTTCAAATGTAATACATAACAGAACTGTCAACACATTTTGTGATCTTTTAACGATAAAGTGGTATATACCACCATTAGCTGCTGATGTTTTATATTGTTATTGTCTGTTAAGATACTGGTGTGAATGCAAACCTATCCCAACATTCCTTCTTGAATTTTACACACTCTTCCAACCACCTTACTTTCCTCATATCACAAGGCTTGGGTCATCTTAAAGGACCACTCTAGGCACCCAGACCACTTCAGCTTAATGAAGTGGTCTGGGTGCCAGGTCCCTCTAGGATTAACCCCTTTTTTTTTATAAACATAGCAGTTTCAGAGAAACTGCTATGTTTATAAATGGGTTAATCCAGCCTCCAAATCCTCTAGTGGCTGTCTCATTGACAGCCGCTAGAGGCACTTGCGTGCTTCTCACTGTGAAAATCACAGTGAGAACACGCAAGCGTCCATAGGAAAGCATTGTAAATGCTTTCCTAGGAGACCGGGCTGAATGCGCGCGCAGCTCCTGCCGCGCATGCGCATTCAGCCGAAGAGGAGGATCGGAGGCGGCGAGGAGAGCTCCCCGCCCGGCGCTGGAATAAAGGTGAGTTTAACCCCTTTCCTCGCCATCCAGCCCGGCGGGAGGGGGACCCTGAGGATGGGGGCACCCTCAGGGCACTATAGTGCCAGGAAAAAGAGTATGTTTTTCTGGCACTATAGTGGTCCTTTAATCACCTTTTTCTTGTCACTGGCATGCCTTTTGTGATATCTTTGTGAATTTTACTTTGCTGTTTGTTCAATTATTGTAATATCTGACATTTATCATAAAACATGAATTAAAAAAATATACCAATATGTACATATCCACAAAGATCTGAGTTGGCCCAACTCTGAAAGCTGAATCCAAAGTGTCCAATTCTATATTAATATTTCTCAAATTCTCTTCTGCTTTTGACACTTTTGGCTCCACTATCCTTCTAAAAACCTTTTGGAACATTGGCTTCCATTACACATTACTGATTCTAATCGTACATCTCAAGGGGTGGGAAATAAGAAACAGCAAGTGAACAGTCAGTTCTTGAATTTCACTTGTGGGAAGCAGGAAAAGTGGGCAAGCGAAAAGATCTGAGTGACCTTGACAAGGGCTGAATAGTGATGGCTAGACAAGTGAGTCAGAGCATCTCTAAAAGTCTTGTGGGGTGTTCCCGGGATGCAGTGGTTAGAACCTATCTAAAGTGGTGCAAGGAAGGACAACCAGTGAACTAGGTTCATTGATGCAATGTGCGGAGCGAAGGCTAGCTTGTCTGGTCTGATTACACAAAAGAGTTTTTGTAACTGAAATTACTAAAAAAACATAATGCTGGCCATGATAGAAAGCTGACAGAACACACAGTGCATCTCAGTTTACTGTCTATGAAGCTGCATAGCCACAGATCGGTCAGAGTGCCCATGATGACCCCTGTCCACTGCCAAAAGCGCCTTCAAGGGAGACGTGAGCATTAGAACTGGACCATAGAGCAATGGATGAAGGGTGGCTGGTCAGATGATTCACATTTTTTTTAGATCAATTGGTTGGTTGTCTGCATGTGCAGAAGAAGGCAAGCAGGCGCAGGCAGTGTTATGTTCTGGGCAATGTTCTGCTGGGAAATTTTGGGTCCTGGCATTCATGTGAATGTCACTTTGACACACCACCTACCTAGAGATTGTTGTAGACCGCGTACACCCGTTCATGGCAATGGTGTTCCCTGATGACAGTGGTCTATTTCAGCAGGATAATGCACCATGCCACACTCCAAACATTGTTCAGGAATGGTTTGAGAAACATGACTAAGAGTTCAAAGTGTTTCCTTGGCCTCGAAATTCCTCAGATCTCAATCTGATTGAGCATCTGTGGGATGTGCTGGAACAACAAATCAAATCCATTGAGGACCCACATCACAACTTGCAGGACTTAAAGGTAAGGATGTGCATGGGCAATAAATTTGGTTCCGTTCGGCACTTCCGAAATTATGCACTTCAGTTCAGCACTTCGGAATTCGAGACTTCGGCAAGTTCCTAACCCTACCTCTCCCCTAACGCTACCTCTAACCCTAAGCCTTACCCTAACCCTACTAGGGTTAAGGGTAGAGTGTAGGGTTAGAGGAAGGTTGGGGTTAGGGTTAGATTCCTGTCATTGTTCCCTTAATTTTACCTCCCTCTCCTGTTTTGCCACTTTTCAGAAATCCGAAGCACTTCGGCACTTCTGAAATTCGGCACTTTGGCAATTTGGTTCGGAACTTCTGAAATTCGGCACTTCGTGACTTCGGCGGTTCGGCACTTCAAAAATTCGGCAGTTCGGACATTCGGAAGCATCCAAATGTAAAATTGCCAAAATTCATCCAAATTTAGATTCGGACCAAAATGAATTGGTGCCAGATACCACAGGACATGTTCAGAGGTCCATGCCTTGATGCATCAGAGCTGTTTTTGCAGCATGAGAGGAACATACACAATATTAGGCAGGTGGTTTTAATGATGTGGCTGATCAGTGTATAATTTCCCGTCTTTATTACTGCGACTAAGTCCTTATCAGTCTCCTCAAAGTTTATGCTGCCCACTACAATCTCTACTGATTACTGCACCTATGCTTATCTAACTTACCTACTGCTCCTTTCGTACCTTATTACTCTGCCAGTATTTACCTTGGGTTCTCATGTCCTTCAGCACCATGCTGAACATATCTCCCCTGTGAAATGCTGTTCTTCCTCTTGTGCTTTTCTACCTCACTTCTTCTAGAATAATACAACCTTTATAATCACATGGAATGAAATCTTTCACTTGGATTTTACTCTCGGTGGACAAGGCACTATAGTGCCAGGAAAACAAACTTGTTTTTCTGGCACTATAGTATTAATAGGTCCCCCCCACCCTCAGGGCCCCTCTCCTGCCGGGCTGAAGGGAGAGGAAGGGGTTAAAATTAAAGCCCGGCACTGGGGACTCTCCTCCTCCTTCGGACGTCATCAGCTGAATGCGCGGCAAGAGAAGCGCGCGCATTCAGTCAGTCCATAGGAAAGCATTTTTAATGCTTTCCTATGGACGCTGGCGTCTTCTCACTTTGAAAATCACAGTGAGAAGCGCCTCTAGCGACTGTCAATGAGACAGCCACTAGAGGCTGGATTAACCCATATGTAAACATAGCAGTTTCTCTGAAACTGCTATGTTTACAGCAGGCAGGGTTAACCCTAGAGGGACCTGGCACCAAGACCACTTCATTGAGCTCAAGTGGTCTTGGTGCCTATAGTGGTCCTTTAAGGCAAAAAAATAAGCTTTATTTCATATTTCTTCTATATAGCTTCCTGTGTCTAAATCTCTTTTTATTTTTTCCTGCGTGTTCCAATCTTCATAAAATGGGTAAAGAAAAGCAGGGACTACTTTTACTGATGTGTAGCAGTTTAGTTGAGAACAGTTAACAATAGGTCTAGCTTAAAGCAAGGTTCTGTTTTATTTGCGAATCAGAAACACCATATCCCACCCACAGTACTTAGTAAAAGCATCTGCAGATATCATGGGCTGAAGAGAACAAAATAGTGGCACCCAGATATTTAGATCTGGCACATGGCAGAAATGATCAGAAATATAAATAAAGGCAGGTGACAAGGGGGAGCATTATCATTAAGATAAAAGGGACATAAGGAAAGGAAACAAAAAAGAAGAAAAAACCATGAGCCAGGACTGGTCTTGAACCAATTTCACATTACTTTTCTTTGAACCAATTTACCTTTGAATTTTGGTTAAAAAAATCTGAACTTTTCATTTAACTTCCAACAAATCCTACCAATAACAACTGACCACTGAAGTTGCGACCTCATAATGTGTACTTTTGCATTCTAATAGGAGGGTGTTATGTTCGAAACTGGAAGCTGGTTTCTAATTAGAGCTATAGATAAATCCAATGCAAGGTTTCATTGTCTAAATCATCTCTTTACTCTCCACTTTTATTGTGCGTTAAAGAAGAGGCTTTCATCTCACCATCTTTTAATGTGACAATGATAACACTGTTTAAATATTGTTTTATCTTTAACCACAGTCTTCATTGTTTCTTGGAGAAACCAAACTGCTGGTAATGCTATTGTGTAGCTAAGAAGTTAATTGTACCTTGGAGACAATATATCACAATTGTCAAACAAAAACTCTATCAACCTTCATAGTGAACTTTGGCTTATGTGTGTTTGTAGAAGTACAATACTTTATATCTGTTAGTAACTTTGTTTTGTAAGCTCTTTTTGGAATAAAGTCTATTCTTTTTAAAATGTAAAAGCAGCACTGTCATGTTAATTTACTTATTATAAGGATAGATTCGGTATGGAATAAAACCTCATTATAAATAGTGACTACATTCGTGTCACACGAAGGTCCAAATTTTTGGCAAAATGTTGCAATGGGTGAAGTTGCCAACACCACATCCTGCCATCTCCCATAAGCCTCTGGTATCTCTTTGCACAAGCGCAAGATAGTTAGAATGTTGATAAATTAAAACATATTTAATAAAGAAAGAAATCCATGTAATGAAGTATTTAGAAAAGGTATTGGAGTAGGGAATCTTACAAGGAATATTTTGCTAGCCCTGCTATTTCTATTTTACGATTCACAGCTGCAGAATAGTTCCAGTCACATTATGGTAAAAGAACACACAAGGAACTCTAGTGACTGCAGTCCTTTTAAGGCTACATTCCCGTGTATTAAACTACTAATATTTAATGCAGTGCTGCTGTCACTTATACATAGGCACGTTGTTATTTTATTCTTGACTTGAGAAAAATTCTGAAAGAACATAAATAAAATAATTACACTGCATACAGAGTTGTGTATATATATATATATATATATATATATATATATACTGTAATGAACTCCTACTTTATGACCACTATGACCACACTATGACCACTTCAGTGATTTCAAGTGGGCATAGGGTCTGCAGTCTGTATGTGCAGCGTTTTGCTATGAATTTTTGCACATACGGAGATTATCCCTTTAGACAGCGTTGTAGGGGTGTCCTATGCCAGCACGGAACTAGAGTTCCTGCCTGTACAATGTCAATGCAGTGAGACTTTTTGCACAGAATGAAATTCATTGTGGGAGAGTGGTCAGCTGATGCACCTCTGCAGAAGCTGAAAGGACATCACTGGACTACCAGGGACCCAGGTGAGGGGACAAACTATTGATAAACAGTTTGCCCTATCAGCAGGGAACCATGTCAGGGTACTCTTGGCATTATAACCACTACAGCAGACTGTAGACATTATAATAATTGGAGAAACCTTTTAAAGGAACACTATAGACACCCAAATCATTTCAGCTCATTGAAGTGGTCTGTGTGCAAGTTATTGATAAACTGCAATAATTGCATTGCAGGGTTAATTCCACTTCTAGTGGTTGTCTACCAGACAGCCACTAGAGGCGCTTCCGGGTCCGTTGCGGACTTTTGGTCGCCTAACTGACGCTGGATGTCCTCACACTCTGCATGAGGACATCCAGTATCAACTAATTAATTCAATGCTTCCCTAAGGGGTAGTCTTAATGCGCTCACATCACTCGCCGCACACGTGTATTAGGTCCCCCCCACCAGCTGACATTGGCAATCAGGTAAGTGACAAAAGGGTTTTTAACCCTTTCAATGCTGGGGGGAAGGGGCAGGGCATTCCTTTTGTAAAACTGGTGTAAAAACCCTTTCCGGTTGATACTTTTGACCATCTTGAGTCCACTATGTATCTCCTTCACACTCCCTGGGTCCTTTCAAGGCTATGGGCAGGAATATACTTAATTATTTGTGCATGTAGTGGTCCATCATTTGGCCACTGTGGAAACGAATGTTCTGAAAAACTGATGCTGCAATAAACAAATCTCAGGACCCTGAATCCTAGTCTACTGCTGAATTGGCCTTATCCTAACTCTCCGTAGCATCAAACAAGCTATTACTGTCATTACTGCGGCTGCACCTAGGCTCTCTGTTGTGAAATATTGGACGAGCACTGCTCCCACACTTGATTGTTCAGCAGAAAATTGTTTGTATTTGCAGTGTGGAAAAATGGTGGCATCTCTTCTTGGTATTTCAGCATCTTTTTATAAAATCTCTTTGGCTCAAGGCAAACTCGGACATTAGGACTTTTTCTGTAACTTGTCTTATTTAACCTCATTTTGGTCATGTGCACCTTTTTAAATCATGACTGTCACATAGTTTATTATTGTTCTCTCTTATACTGGGGAAAGAAACTAAATGTGTTCATAAATCAATTTAAGCAGACAATAGCCATATTTGCATACACATTACCATTAATAAATACATTAATTGGAGTTTTAATCCAACATGGATTTTTGCACAAATTTGGCATCTCCGCTGTATGTCTGGATCTTAGTAAATAACCTCACATGTGTGTTGGTCTACTGCTTTTTCTGTTTTCATTATTGTCATAGCTGCGTGTGCCTGACCGGCATGCAAAAATTAAGGGAAATAAAACCCACATAAAGTTCTAAATGTCTTTATTTCAAAGAAAAACAGTATTTGGGGAGGGACACAGGGTTATGTTTAAGTCATGTCTGTTATTCCTAACTGGTTTCCTTCCAGTAAAATCGAGATAATCTATAAAAATAACATTAAAAGAAACCTAGGCTTTTTTAGAAAGCCATACCCTCGTGAACCAGTTGTTTACCAGTTAAACAGATGTGATTTAATACTCTAGCTACATGCTGGGTTTTCATTGTCTGCTTAACTAAATATTGGTGTTAAATAGTCAAAGTTTGAGTGCTGGGACCTAGTTATAAACCTGTGATTACCTGTCTGCTCAGTACATAATGGAACTATCATAGTGAAGGTTCTAAGGATATTGTGTATTGTCACCTTGAAGAATTAACTTTGGTTACAGAGTTACAAGCTACAACTTTAGTTAAACGTTATACACAGTACAGACCTTTCTGTAAATAAATGCTGTGGATTCATTAACACCATCCTAGTTAATTTACACATTTACATTTAAAGACCATTCTTCTGATATTGATTAAGGATGGTGTCAGAGGCAAAGTTACTGGTGAGACCGTATCTCCAGAAGGATATTGATACCTTAGAGAGAGTTCAGAGAAGGGCTACTAAACTGGTTCATGGATTGCAGCATAAAACTTACCAGGAAAGGTTAAAGGATCTTAACATGTATAGCTTGGAGGAAAGACGAGACAGGGGGGATATGATAGAAACATTTAAATATATAAAGGGAATCAACACAGTAAAGGAGGAGACTATATTTAAAAGAAGAAAAACTACCACAACAAGAGGACATAGTCTTAAATTAGACATAGTCTTAAACAATAATATCCGGAAGTATTACTTTAGGATTAAGATCCTTTTTTTTTTTAAATTCTCTCTAAATTTGTGGATTTCAATTGACACCTTATTGAGTATATGTGAATTGAAAAGGAATAGAAATAAAACATGTTTCCTTGTATTATCAATTATCAGATCACATAAGAAGGTGGAAACTCATGCTTTCCATCCATACTGACTTGGGAAAGTGGATTGGCATGCAGTTTTTCCAAACAGGCAATTACATAGTTCCTCCTAACATAGCTGTGTACAGCTCCATTCACAAAACTGCTATCAGCTTAGGCATCAGCTCCATTCTTCCTATGTGATGAGTAAGCTGCGTGTTAAACAGCAATTTTTTCAAATATTTTAACGCATTATCTATGTAGGTCATTAAACTATTGCCAACTTCCTACTGGGAGTATTTTTTTTTTTAAAGATAAATTATTATTTGAGTCAGTAACAGGGGAGTTAATAAAAAAACGAAATATCGGCATTATACAAAGACTGCACCTCAAATTTTTAGCTGGGTTTGTTCCTTGTCCTACATACAAATAATTTTTCTATTACTCATAGAGCAATGTGCGCTTAGCCATGATATTAAACCTTATGCTAAATATATTTTTTAAGTGTAATTTTGCATCAAATTCTTCCTTTTACTATATATGGGAGACTTACCTGAAAAGGAACAACTTTCCTGTAATTTCATTTCTTCGTATTTTGAAGGAAATGTACTTTGAAAGATTATATTTCTGAGGAGCTGGTAGTTAGAGTTCCACTTTCTGTAATAATAGGTTAAAATGGGAAAAAAAATAAAGCAGTCACGCATTGTAGAGGATCACATATAAATGATTGTTTTTGAGATATTATAAAAGGTGATTTTATAAATGCCACTCAGCTATTTAGGAGCTACAGAGGCTGTGTTTATGTATCCATTATCATACATTCCTACAATAAGTGGCTACATTTTCAATATTTTATATGTACTGCAGAGAATAGTAAGCAGTATACGAAAACAATGATGTGTTATTCAGATAAATTACGGAAAGAAAAAAAAAGAAAACAGAAAACACTCTAACAATTTTTATTTTTTTTACTTTATCTCACCCTGCAATGTAATACTTTCAGAGGTATATACACTAAACAGCGAGTTGTAGGGAATTGACAAAATCAGGACAATTTAGCCTAAACAGAGTTGGAAGAATAGCAAGAGGTTTTGCAACATATTTATTAATTGACATCAAAGGACTGTTTCATAAAATAACCCTCATTCCACAGTGTTTTATTGCATTGTATGTCACATGACTACTGATTGTAAGGCCTTTGTCACAAGTCCATGTGAGAGGTTAGAATTACAGAATTACTGTCTGGTATTGCTCTATCTCTTGTACAGAAGAAACCAGCATTTTAATTCTGCACTGTTCGCCTCATAATGACCAGTCTGCTAGCTTTGATTGCAAACACTACAAAAGTATACAACACACAGCCTTCACCTAAATAAACATAACATTAGGATTTTTTCCCTTCAACTCAGTATCTACAAAGTTTTTAAAATAAATTAATACGGGGGGCGCGTGGCTGGAACTTGAGCCAGATGGTCACAGACTGCGCAAGCTCTGTCACAACAGCTCTAAAAAAAACATTTTAACCGCATAAAAAGAGCACAAAAAAGAGTAAAACTAACCTCAGAGATGTCGCAGCTTCGCTACAAAAAAAGCGGCGGACGCCAAAGTAAAGGTGACCTTTTTTGCAGCCCACACTCCGCAGAACAAGCCAGTGCGCCAGAAGGCCTAAGATAGCGCAGAGTCGGACACAGCAGACAGCTACATCGAGGAGGATAAAACAGTGACTAAGCCAATACTGCAAAATATGCTAGATGAAGTGGTCTGTTAAATGCAAGCCACGGTGAAAACAGAAAAAACAGCACTGAAGAAAGATATTGTGGAACTAGGCAATCAAACCTCTCATCTGGAAGGCAAGGTAGAGGAAATCTCCATGGCCCACAATTTCATGGCGGACAAAATGGAGGAATTGGAAAGCAAATTAGAGCGCTATGACTACAAGCTTATGGACTTGGAGGATCGCTCCTGAAGGAACACTCTCCGGCTAAGTGGGACCCCGAGGAGATACATCAAACGGAGCTAACTGCATACACAGCAGAATTCTTCCGCTCCATACTGCCCGATATTCCCCTGGCCATGCTGATCCTGGACAGGATCCACAGAGTGGCAAGGCCCTCCCATATCTCTCCCTCTATACCTAGAGATGTCCTTATGCAAATGCATTATTTTCGTATAAAAGAGCAGATCTTAAAATCTCACCGAAACACAAGAGGCATTGCAAAGAAGTTCAAAGACATCCTTATTTTCGTAGACCTATTCGTGGAAAGCCTAAGGAGAAGACAGAACTTCCGAACCATCACTGAGGCTCTCCGCCAGCATAATATTCCATACCTCTGGGGTTACCCAGTCAAACTACTCATCTCCAAAGGTGGCAAGCTGCATGCGGTGTCCTCAGTCCCAGAGGCTGCTGACCTACTCCACACATGGGGCATAAAGAAGATCGACCCAACGGTGGGGAAGGCCCGCGACAACAGGATCCCTATAGAATGCCCAAACTGAGACTGAACACAACCAGGTCAGAACAGTAACGTCGGCAAGAGACTCTCCCTCCTGTGCAAGTGGCTGAGGTTTAGACTTGCCCACGGTGGGTAAAAAGGAGAGACGGGCCGTTCTGGTCAGCCAAAGGGGCAGAGTAAATCGGTCACCACAGGGAAGAGTACTGGGCACCACACCCCGTCGGCCGGGTCAGGGGGTCATGTGCAAAATGTAATGTGTATTTGCAGTAGCCAGGTCCCACCGACTGACAACCAACCCTACTGGGCTGCCAGACAGAAGCACTTGACAGACCCCAGTCGAGAAATTACTGGGTGACAGACCATGCCCAGTACAACAAGGGACCGTGCAAGGTTACCTTAACATTCCTATACTTACTAATGCCTATGCGGACAGACCAGACCCTCCCAGATCGAGATTAGTGGTAGCATAATTAGAGCTGCGACTCTTACTAGGCTTGGTCTGGGCATTATTTGGTTGGACCAGACCACTTACCCCCTACCTAAGAAGGTTAATTTAACACCTTCAAGTCTTGTTAAATGGATGCTCCAATTATAGTGTTTGACTATTGTCTATGTTTTTGTTTAACATTTTTAATGTTATGTTTTAATGTTAAATGTTCCCTAAATGCAAATTTAAGAAACAAGATACATTATAACCCAGAAATGTCCTTTAACCATGCATCGCCCTCCTCATTAATCAGGCACCAGGCCAAATGTTGGCTACTGCCCTTACCCCGTGAGTACTGCAGACGCCACGCACAGCAGTCACCCTTAGTACCCGCATATGGATGAAAATATATACGTATAAAGTTAGAGAGTTGAACACTCCACAAATACAGCACACTCTTGTCAAGGACCTAAGGGGCACACAAGCTGACATAATATGCCTACAAGAAACACACTTCCAAACCAACTCCAACCTCATCCTAGGAAAGGCAGAATACCCTCACCAGTTTCACGCAATGGCACCCACAAAAAGCAGAGGGGTCTCCATATTGCTGAACCGACACCTGGCATTTGATGAAATTGCAGTACAACAAGACCCACAGGGCAGATATATCATACTGATCTGTACTATAAACAGCTCCACATACACCACAGTGAACGCATACTTCCCTAATACAAACCAAGGGAGGTACCTGCAAAATGTATTGCAGCTAACCACACAGATGCAAACTGGTACCACAATTATATGTGGAGATTTCAATCATTTCCAAGACCCATCAATGAACTCATCAGCGAACCACACGGCCCACAGGTCCAAATCACTATACAAGCAGTGCAAATGCTTGTCCAAGCTCCTACAAACATTTGGACTCTACGACGCATGGAGTACACTACACCCAAATGATAAAGAATACACACACTATTCGCAGATCCATAACACTTACTCGAGGATAGATGGGTTCCTGATGCAAAATGCACATCTCAACAGAGCCATAGCGTGGGAAATAGAGCCATCCACATGGTCAGACCACAACCCAGTTACACTGACAGTAGCGGACCATTATAATTACAAAAATCGAAGTCCTTGGAGACTAAATGAGCAACTTTTAAATGACCCCCACTTTGCCCAAGCCCTACAACACGAAATACTCACATACTTTGAGGACAATGACACCAATAACATATCCCCAATGACACTATGAATGGCCTATAAACCAGTTTACAGGGGCCTCTTGGTTCGCCAAGCCTCACACCTTAAAAAAAAAAAAAAAAAAGAAACACCACACCATGCACATCCAAAACCTAAAAAAACTGCTGGACCTTCACAGAACCAAGCAGCTCCACCCCTCAAAAACAACACAACAATTAATTATGAATATCCAACAGCAGATCAACACCACTAACTTCCAGAAGGCGAGCTACGCAATTAAAAAATTGAAAGCCAGAACATTTGTGCTTGGCAACAGAGCTAGCAAGGCACTGGCCCACAGACTTAGAGATAAGCAAACTCAATCTAAAATCCACTATCTACAAGCCACAACCGCCAAAAAATCCTCCACCCCATGCAAATCTGAAACAAATTTGCAACTTATTACAGCTCCCTGCAGTGGCATACATACCGGGTTCGCGGCTGCGACCGGGCCCGGCTCACCAGGGGGCCCGGCTGCCCTGCAACCCAGTATGTATGCCACTGTGGCCAGCCTCTTCTCCTGGGGGGCCCAGGAGCCGGCCACCTCAGGGCCCCCCGAGGCTGGCCGTGGTATCAGCCTTATCTTATAGTTAGGATAGCCTTATGCCTACCCCACCATTTAGTTGGCTTGCTCCCTTAGAAAGCATTAAAACTTACCTTAAGTCCAGCTTTCCACGGGTCGGCAGGTGCTGGCCCCGCCCCTGATCCACCTCCTTGGCTGACATCATCAGAATTGATTATCTCAGCCAATCCAATGTTTTCCCACAGGGAAATGTATGTACATACATACACATAACACCACAGGCATTCATGTGGGACATGCTCAAACATACATTTACAGCCCACATAAACACAAACCTTTACAGAGCAGCCACTGCATCTATATATAACATGTGCAAAATGAATGCAAGATACGTAAACATTGCTTTGAATAAATAGGCCTGGCACCCTAAGGAATTTCAAAGCTTTATTTCGGCACAGCACCAACAAATGGTTGCTATCCCTATCCTAGGCTCTGCCTTGTATTATAATACCAAGTGGTCATATGATCTAGTTATTGGCATGCAGACTACACTTCTCTTGACCACGATATTTACCTTTCTTCAACTGTGCCCCTATATGCCTATTATCCACCTTATCTACACTTTAAGCAGATCTGTCACAATATGGATGCCCTGGCTCTCAGCCGAGGGATCCATTCCTCCAAATCTCCTGAAGGTCCTTTAACTATTTTTGATCATGGGGCCAGATTTACTCACCATTTTACACAGTTATACGGTCCATCCGGGTCTTCTTTCCATTTTAAAGTTCCTAAGATGGCGGTGCCAGGAATTGCTGTCATCTGCCCATGAGGGTCACATTAGGTGAGGCACATGCCAGTTAGGCATTGACCTCAATTGACTATCTCATTCAGAGTGTGAGGGAGGTGAGTATAGAATCGGACAGCCAATGACAAACTTGATCAAGGCCGTGGAGCTTGACTAAAGCTCCGCTTTTTGTCAACCTTAAGGTTATAAATAAGGAGTAATAGTTCCTACATTTTCTTATGTACAACTTACAAATTATCCTAATTATGGGGGAGAGGGGAAAGGTCTATCTAATGGGGGATTGGAAAATGCAAAAAAAAAGTGACAGATCTCTGTTAAGGTAGCTAGAGCATGGGTCTTTCGAAACCTCTTGTTTGTTTATAAAGCTCAGTTTTATCTGTTTATATATCCATTATAATTAATTATTTTAACAAGTGACTTTTCTCCCCAATATTTCTTGTCTTGATGAATATTATCACGTTATACTGCATGCTCACACGCATATGTTTTTATTTATTATTATAAAAGTTTGTATAAAAGCGCTACACATATAGCTTAAAACTCAAAACCCTTTTTGTTTCAGCGTGTCCATGGGCCTCTCTCAGTACCCCTACCTCGAATGATGCATTCCATTTATAAAGCACTCTGGATAACAGTTTTAAACAAAAAAAAGAAAAGAGCTAGCATTATAAACCAATATAAAAGAATTTGCCATTATTGCGGACCTGCAAAACGACCTTTAAATGACCAACAGAGAACTGAGTTGTTACCAGGATGTAAGAACCCTGAATGTTTCAGTCCTGTGTTTTTTGATGCAGTCAGCACTGGTTCTATTAATCACTTCCATATCTAACCTATATGCATTTTATATTAGATGAGTTATTCCCAAAAGTGAGAATTCAAAGTTAGAGAATGTTTACAGTACAATAAACACCTTATTGGCCAGTACTTTATTGTTTTTGAGCTTTGCTGTGTACACCCAAATACTGCTTCTGTCCTCAGTGCTGTCCCAATTCATTCATCTCCCTATTGCTATTTCTAAACAGAAAGTTTGACATTCTTATGATTATGTTACGGATTGGTCCGACCTCTGTGACTTTCAGTTTGAAATGTCCTATACTTAATTTGTACAGCCTTTGTGCTGCAGGAGAATCTGTATTTAAGCGTTATACAGTTCTAGGTTGTGGTCTCCTTGCTCAGCAAAAACTAGCCGTGTCAGGCGGTTTGTGCCAGAATCATGCAACAGAAGCCACTGTGGACAACCATGTAGTTAGTATGCACTGCAAATGGGCTCCAGGACCTCTGGCGCATAGAGAGCGTAAAAACCCTTATTGCTTGTTACCGTTTGAGTTCTAAGTCGGAACCTTTATATAGTTACTCATCCTAAGCATCACCACTAAAATATCAAAATATGTCCTCCTCATAGTGAGGAGGGCCATTTTAAGCAGTTTCATGTATCATAATTCTTTGAACACGTTAAAGTTAGCAGTTTAAGGCAAAATTACAAAATCGGCATAAATTTATATGAGATGCTCTGTTTAAATCCTTTCATAAAAAAGTCACGTCATAACAAAAACTTAGGTTATAGAATCTAGACAAAAAAATAACATGTATATATTGGAAATTATTATTATTATTATCACCATTTATATAGCGCCAACAGATTCCATAGCGCTTTACAATATTATGAGGAGGGATTTAACTATAAATAGGACAATTAAAAGAAAACTTACAGGAACAATAGCTTAAAGAGGACCCTGCTCAGACTAGCTTTATTTTCTACTAAATGCAAAAATTCCATAATCATAAATGATGGTTTCTATTTCGATATGAGAACTTGCAAAGGTCAAATGTTCTGATGAATTAGGAGTAATGCCCTACAGTCCTAGTTAAAATACTTGTTACGAACAAGGATGACAAACAAGTAGAAAACTGGCACTGTCTTCATAAGAGGTAAAACTAAAACATACTAACTTGTATTGTGTGCAAGAGCAGGTTTAAAGGACCACTATAGGCACCCAGACCACTTCAGCTTAATGAAGTGGTCTGGGTGCCTGGTCCAGCTAGGGTTAACCCTTTTTTTTATAAACATAGCAGTTTCAGAGAAACAGCTATGTTTATAATAGGGTTAATCCAGCCTCTAGAGCCTCTAGTGGCTGTCTCATTGACTGGCTCCTGCCGCGCATGCGCATTCAGCCGATGACGTCGCTATGAAGGAGGAGAGGAGGAGGAGAGCTCCCTGCCCAGCGCTGGAGAAAGGTAAGCTTTTAACCCCTTCCTCTCCCCAGAGCCCGGCGGGAGGGGGACCCTGAGGGTGGGGGCAGCCTCAGGGCACTATAGTGCCAGGAAAACAAGTATGTTTTCCTGGCACTATAGTGGTCCTTTAACTATAACTAGAAGTGAGTATTAACTTCAACTTTTAGACGTTTCGTAAGATCTCACTTAGGTGTCATATCTAGGCTACAAGAGGTAGTGAAGTTCTACATTCACTAAGGTGCTTGCTCCATCTTGAAATTCTGCTTAAAAGGTTACTTGCCACTGCAAGCCTGAAAGGGTGCTGGCAGATTCACAGTGGTCAGTAGTAAGTATACATTGTGAGCCATGCTCTAGCTAATCTAATATGTGCTATCCTACTGATGTGCTCTGTTGGTGGCTTTCATTGATTTAACTTATAAGGGAATGCAATAAACACAAACAGGCAGAAACAAGTCAGGAACTCAATCTGGAAGTTTTATAATGGCACTATAAATGATACATTATATTCCTAGACTGTAGGCTCGTTTGAGCCCTCTTCAACCTATTGTTCCTGTAAATTTTTATAATTGTGTCATTTATTGTTAAATCTCCACCTCTTGTAATATTGTAAAGCGCTATGGAATTTGTTGGCGCTATATAAATGCGAAAAATAATAATAATAATAATAGTGTTGTACTAATATATTTAATTTGGTATTATTTTGTCTTCGATCCCCAACTGATTTATAGTCTCTGTCTTTGTAAGACTCCCTAGATATAGACCATTCATTAGTAAGTTGGTATGGTGTCTTGGGCCACATCTCAATACAATGTCCTTTTCCTAAAAATTACATTGTTTTATAGAAGACTGTAGCGCTCTGCTTGAAATATTAAAGGACGTTCTGCCTTAAACTGTTCCACATGTTTTCTGTAATACTTCCTTGTGTGTTTAGTTTTTCTTTTAAATCCAAACAGTGTACCAGCAGGGGCTAGGGCAGACAGATTCATCCAGTGTAATGTTACTGGAGTACATTGGTATAAATTAACTCTGTGGTAGGTTATTATTATTATTATTAAATCAATCTGTTTTCAGCAAGTCATTCGTGCAATATATAATGTTTTTTTAAAACATTATATAAAACAAAAAAACATTATATTAAAAAAACTCATTCAAAAAATGTGGGGCCAAGAAAGGCACATATAATAACTCGATATGCCAGTGTTTAGTGGTAATTAGTAAAAGTAAATAGAAAAGCAGAATAGTACATAGAAACATGGGTTTCCTACTACAATTCTCATATTTTTGGGGCATTCAATACCTCTGTGCATGCTAACTTCTATTAGTACGTCTTGGATAACATTTACATTTTGTCCAGGCATAAGTGCTTTAAAACCGAGACACCTGGATAAAATCTTACAGATAAGCTTTGCCCTCACTAACGGCAAATGAAAACACAAGGGTTAATAAAATGTATTATCAGGGACATAAGCCATAAGCTTCCACCAAGACAAAAACAAAATGCATATTTTGCACAGCATTCTGAGTTCGTTACAGAAACACGATGAATTAGCTCCTCAGAGCTGACGTGTATAGAACAGATATTTCATTTGCTTTATGTTACTTTGAATAATACAAAAATCAGACATGCCCACCAAATGCTAGAGGACATTAACTCAACAGGACGGTGCAAGTGGCATAACGCCCTTGCAAAATGCTCTCTGAATTTCTTGCCAGGTGTAACGACTTATGTGACAGTGAATAAAGAAATTACATCGGACAGTCTATCACACTCTTGATTACATTATTATGTTATTATTTATATGGCGCCAACAAATTCCGCAACGCTTTACAGTGGGTGGACGAACAGACATGTAGTTGTTACCAGACAAATGGATGCACAGGAACAGAGGGGGTTGAGGGCCCTGCTCAATGAGCTTACATGCTAGAAGGAGTTGGATAAAGTGACACAAAAGGTAAGGATTGTATTAGACTAATCTCAGTTGTAAGAGAGAAATCAGTCGGGAGCTATTTACAGTTTAATTGATACACTTTTATGAAGAATGGGTTTTTAATGACTTTTTGAATAGGGATCGACCGATTATCGATTTTACCGATATAATCGGCTGATATTCAGTATTTTTGGCAATATCGTTATCGGCCAATTCAGATACCGATATTGCCTCCTAGGACCGCCAGGCTCATAACAAACCCGGCGGTCCTGGGGGGGGGGGGTGGCAGCAAGCGTTTACTCACCTCCCAGCAGCTCCTCCAGCTCCCCAGTGTAACTCTCGCGAGACCCGCGTGGCACGAGGGCCGCACGACTTACACTGGGGAGCTGGAGGAGCTGCTGGGTGGTGAGTAAACACTTGCTGCCCGCCCCCCCACAGCTCAGCCAATGCCACTGGACCACCAGGGACTGCTATATCCCCCCTCCCTGGCCAGGCAACAAGCAGGGAGGGGGGGACAACAAAAATAAATAATAACTAAATATAAAAAAATAACAATAATTTAATAAAAAATGCCCCCTCACACACACACTCCATTATATGCACATACACTACACAAACACACTGTGTATATAATGCAGTGTGTTTGTGTAGTGTGTTTATATAATGCAGTGTGTGTATATAATGCAGTGTGTTTGTGTAGTGTGTTTATATAATGCACACTACACAAACACACTGCATTATATATACACACACACTATACAAACACATACACTCTGCATTATATAAACACACTACATTCACTATACACACACAAATACACACACACTCTGCATTCATTATATACACACACTACACAAACACACACTTTGCATTTAGTATATACAGCATTCACTTTACGCACACTACCCTCACACTACACAAACACTCTGCTTTCATTATATACACACTAGACAAATACACACTGCATCCACTACACAAACACACACTGCATCCACAACACACACACTACACAAACACACACTGCATCCACTACACACACACTACAAAAACACACACAGCTCCCCTGTCTAAACACACTGCATCCACTACATGTGGCATGTATATTTTGTGCATTTACCTTTAGAAATTGTTTTTATTTTCCAAAATGGTAAATGTACAGAATATCAGCAAATTATATCGGCTATCGGCCTGAAGTTCAAAGAATATCGGTATCGGTATTGGTTCTAAAAAATCAATATCGGTCGATCCCTATTTTTGAAGGAGTGGAAACTGGGTGAGTATCTAACGGAGGAGGGAATTACTGTCCTAGATATGGACACATAAGTGGAAGCCTTGCACCCAGATTGCTTGCCAAGTCACTGAACTAGACAATTCTATAACGGATGTCAGAAATGGATCTGTTTCTAGTGAAGAAACACTCTAAGCAACAGACAGTGGTGTATTCTGGATTTGTGCTGCCCTAGGCACGACTAAATTCGGCACCCCCTTATCTAAATTTGCCCTACCAATTCGTGTCAATGCCTTTTTTTTGACTGACAGACACACACTGACAGACACACACACAAGGACAGACACTCACAATGACAGACACAAACACACACTCACCGACAGTCACAAACATCCTCACTGTCAGACACACACACATTTTCTCATACACTCACTAATTATTAATATTTTTTTTAATCTAAAAGGACATATCTCCCTCATCGCCCGGATAGAATATTAGTACGTTAACACCTAGAGGGGGTCCTAAGGTGGTAGCCAGCTCATGAGCTGCCCAGTACACAAGGCAAACAAGGCATTTACCTGGGCACTTGGGGGCGTTTTTTGCTGCCATCCCCTGAAAGGGCTGCCATAGGCAAATGCCTTGTTTGCCTTGTGGTAAATACACCCCTGGCAACAGAACCATTACAGCTTGCGGCAGTGGTTATATTGCCAAGAGTCTACGGGTGCAATTCCCCATTGTTAGTAGGGTTTGCATTATATACCCCATTTTTTCACCACAACACAGCAGGTAAACAACCTGGGGATGCTCGTTGTGCCCATCGACTTGGTATCATACCTTGTTTGCAAGACATGCTTTTATTTCAGGTATATTTAACACATCTACCAAGTGTGAGAGCTCTTCAGACTCCCCAAATATCCTAAAAAGAAACTATCAGCAAGCAATGTTTCTCTCCTATTGCATTGTTATAGTGTGCTACAGAACCTCTTTTTATCATCACAGCCCTCCGTGATAACATCTGATATACACTGCTTTCATTTAAATTGGTAATAAAGTTTTTATTGATTTTGGGCACTCTTTTGAGAAAGATAACAAATAAAGGCATTCAGCCAGCAGACGTACAGGTATAAAATATTCTCCTTGGATAAAATGTAGTCTATACTTATCTGTTTTAGTGTTCCTCTTCAACAGCTTTATTACATTTGGTTTATGTTAATACGACAAATGCAGTTTTATCTTGTGCAGTCACATTAGCACAGTCCATAGATTCCAAATTCATTTATACGATATGAAATGCAGCAATGATTCCATTCTAATAATCCGTTAAAGCGGCACTGCCATGCCGAACTTACCTTTCCCCAATTGTTTCTTCTTCTCTCCATCTGTCAGGATCTGTTCTTCACTTAGACAGGATGCCGATGAAACTACCGAATTTCGTCCTAACAGAATGAGAACAGTTCTTCCATTCGTGTTAGGACGCAATTCAGGATTTTGTTCGGATCGGAATTTCATTCAAATCTTGCAGCCACTTAGTAGATAACTCCCTAATTCCAACGGTATTATGGAGCTATCTACCAAAAGGCTATCAATCAGCCAAATTTACTAATACCAAGTAAAGATTACTTAGTATAAGTAAATTCTGCCCCTACTCATTATATCGCGAGTAGGGGCATGTCTAATAAACAGTGAGCAACCTATTGTCCCCCCCAGCCCACGGCCCCAACCTATGAGCGGCGCGTGGAGGCCCTAAATGAAAATGGGGATGGGGAGGGCAATAGGTCCCCCCATTTTCATTCAGGGCCCCCACCCGCCACTCATGGGTTGGTGCCGGGGGAGAGGACAATAGGCCCCCCCCCATTTTCATTTAGGGCCCCCACCCACCACTTATAGGTGGGGCTGGGGGGGGGCACTAGGTCCCCCCTTCAGTTTAATAGCCCCCACTCACGCGACTCAGGAGGAGGGACACTAGAGGGCTTTTTTTTTAACAGTGAGCAGCCACTAGCTGCTCACTTTTTAGTAGACATGCCCCTACTTGCAGCATAGTGAGTAGGGGCACTCCTACAGAGTGAAGGAGGGCTTAGGAAGTGGTGGGGAGCACTGTTCCCTGATGCTTCTATCTTTACATATTGCAAAGAGGGAGCAGCGCGCCGGTAGCTCCCTCCTTGTAATAAACCAAATCGAACGTACGAAGAGGTCTTCGTTCATTCGTTTGAATTTTCTATTAATTTATTCGTCTTTCTGACGAATGAATGAATAGATGAAATTCCTATTTGTATGCCCAAGTGTTTAACTGGGCATGTGCGGGAATTTCACAGTGCTATCTAGTTTGGGCAGATGACGTGTACCACAGGGACTTCATCTACCCACACAAATATGGTGGCGCCCAGGGCCTTAGTCCGGGCAGAATATAAAGATTAGAAAATAGGTAATATGAGAGGCTTAGGGGCATTTGGAGGTAACTAGGGGGACAATTAGATGTAGTGGAGTCGGGAGGGGGGTTAAAGAAAAACGGGACTCGGCCATGACAGTGTCGCTTTAACCTTGCAATTTTATCACTGCATTTATGTAAATTTAGTTCTTTATCATCTACCTCCTCTATGTCTATGGTTTTATATGAATTGAGGAATATTAAAAATAGCTAGTTCTTTTCTTTCTAATGTTCTTTTTCAAAGTAGCCATTTAGCAGCAAAATGCACACTCATAGTTTTAATTTCCATTTTATAGTTTTTGCAGTGCGATAACAGGACCTGTAATCTTCTGGTGATCGTATTCAGATATGACATTGTATTTGCATCTATTTCCACAGGGATTGCAATGCAATCCTGCAGTACTTTATGCAAATATTAAATAGTTGATTTGCATAAGGGTACACCCCAAAGAGGTATAACCTCTGTCTTCACAAATATTAGCGCAAGAAAAAGATTACAGTGGAGATCCCTTCTCAGGATTTTTTATATTATATTTACATATCACCTATACTTAACAAATATGTATTCGTGAAGTGTAAAAAATAATATTAAATGTAGAAATCCCCATATATCTATCCTGCAACTGGATAAGATATCTCCATCTTGATATCTCCTGGATAAGATATCTCCATGTCAATCAATGTTGAAAAAATAAACTAAACTCATTGTGTTCTCTTTTGATGAAAGCAATATGCATCACTGACTACTTGAAAACACGTAGGCATAGACCCAAAGAGTATCAAGTTGTAGCCAACCACCTAGGCTACTCCCACCACAAAGTTGGCCCAGTGTTTTTAGTGCTTTCATCCTAAATCTTGGGACCCGTTACAAAACCATTGGCTGGCCACACCACCACTACATGAACAGTAACTATCTTTATTTCTACAGATGATGTTGAACTCCATTTCCCATGATGCATAGGTAGCTTAAAATCCTTTGTCCTACACCCCCACTTATGTCTCTTCCTCCCACTCTACACTTGTGTGTCAAGTCCTCACTGCCACTTGGTCTTCACTTTATCCTTCTCACCCCTGCCTGTGTGTTTCTTTCCCCCTTGCACCTAATTATCTCATACAGTCATGGCGTACACACCATAACATATCCTATAATCAAAAAATCTAAATGTAGCTTAAAGCCATTAGAGCAGAACAGGTCAGTACAGATTTGGGGAACGTGGTAATCTGATTAGGGTTTCAATATGTTGTTTTGTCCCATTAAGCATGAACATAGAACGTTAAATGGCTGCTGCATTGTTCAGTCCCGTTGATTTCTTTGCTGAAAAATCTCGTGTTCACTGGGTATTTTGTGTGGGCGCTGAAGCTTGTTTGTACAATATATTAAATAACAAAGCTCACAATCACTTATTAAATCAACAACCTGAAGAGAAAATTGAGCAGTTTATTAGTCCTACACAAGAAAATAACTAGTGCGTGAGTCGACCATAACATTTCTCCATTATGTTATATGTATAGTTTCTTGGCTTCAATCTCTCGGACAAACTGCAATTGTGTTGATTTTTGGAAATGTCAGTATAATAACATTTCATTCAGTCAGTAATTTTTTAGGTGTAATTGGCCCTAAAATAAATACCTGATCACAGTTGCAAGTACAAAGCATTTCTTGTAGAGATGGATATGGTAGGGTTAAGAAGGTTAAAGCAGGCACTGTTTATATAAATTTCACTCATCTGTTTTAACAGCAGGAGTTTAATTAACAAAACATTGAAAATATGTTTTTGTAAAAATAAATTGGTTCCATTTTTACTACGACCAGTGCCAAGTTTCTTGTTGAAACGCTTCCATAGCAAAACCCGTCTTAACATCTTAAATCTCCTATATTCCCAGCACTTTCCCCTAATCCTCTTAGTATAAGAACATTTTGTTAACGCTGTAAATTTGGCTGCTGGCTTTGTGTTTTTGTTGTTTCAAGGACAGTAGTATTCCATAGACCAGCTTTTTTGTTATGACAACAGGATTAATCTAAAAAATGCTGAAGATATTTCTCTTTTAGGTGTTGCTTGTCAATTTACTACTAGAACCTCTTTTGATATTTGATCTGATCTGTAACGTCTGAAGTGATGTCAAGCTCTCCCTCCTCTGCTAATTATCGATTGTCATATGTGTCGCTGATGGGCATTCCGTAACACAGATGATGTAAACACACACTAATGCCGTTTGGAGATGCCCATCAGATGCAATAACAAGATATAACTACTCACCCTATTTAAACATAAAGTTTTTTTATGACCCTTCCTGTGATTTCTGCTTTTCAGTGTTATTGAGTGTTCGATCCAGCTTGTCTTATATTTATCCTGCTCTATATTATCCCAGAGACATCTTAATGCATGGGCACAATGGGCAGTTGGGGCCTCATAGCCATGCATAGTACTGACTTACTACTGGGGGTTTACTCCTGTGTGGGCATCTCCCCCCCCTCCACACACTTGGCAGGGGCAATTACACTGTGTATTGGGGTGCACTCTAAGAGAGGGCGCCCACAGCAGCGGCAGCAGCAGACGTACCAGACCGCCTGCCCTGGCATACAGACACACGCCAGGATGGAACAAGGCCGCCACATCTATGAGCTGCCACACACTGCCCTGTGCCAGGACAAGAAGCAGAAGGAATGGAAGCATGGCAGCAGGTCCTGGGAGCAGGTACCACAGTGGTAGAAATGGCCTGTTTTTAATGCCCACCGTATGTGAGAAATAAGGGATGGCTGCTTGCTGTGTGTGTGTGCGTGCATTTAGCAGTCTGTGTGTCCAGGGCTGTCCTTAATATTGATTGGGCCCTGGGCAAGCATTTGCTTGGGCCCCCTGGACCTACTCCCTGGCATGCAATCACGCCTCCACCCCAACGCAGTGGTGGAACTAAAGTAGAAAGAGCCCTGATTCAAGAATTTAATTGGGACCCCCAATTGCAAGGTTGGAAAGAAGGTAGAACCCTATCTGTCGTGCAACTCCAACAATGCATTGACAGCTGGGGCTTTACCAATTTCCCATGCTTGCAGGGTTGTATTTAGCACTTTGTTTGTGTGTTTGAATGTAAGCATGTTTTTGTATGGAGTATGTTTGTGTGAATGTGTTTGTATGTGGTGTTAGAGTTTGAATGCAAGTGTGCATTTAAGTGTACTGCTGGTTTTTGAATGTAGGGGTTTGTTTATATATAATTTTGGTGTTTAACACAGAGGTGGGTTTGTATGAAGTGTTGACTTTCAATGCAGGAGTGTATTTGAATGTAGTGTTGATGTTTCAATGCAGGAGTGTGTTTGTATGTAGTGTTGATGTTTCAATGCAGGAGTGTGTTTGTATGTAGTGTTGAAGTTTGAATAGAGGGGTGTATTTGTATTTAATGTTGCTTCTCAGATGCTCAGTCACACAGGTAAACACTCTGACACACATGCAGATACACACACTGACTACATTCAGATACATACACAGACACATATAGATACACAGACAGATAAACTGAGACTTACATACAGTGATAGACATACTGACACACACACTGACACAAACTGTCATACAGGCACATACAATGACAAACATACTGACACACAGATACATATACTGAGAGACATACTGAAACACATTTACATACACATATACACTAATAGGCATACTGACACACATTTGTATTTTTATTAAGTGGATCTCGCGCAGTAAAACTATACAGGCAGTATATTAAATATTAGAATCATATAGACTAATTGGATATCACAATTTTTAATGTGATAGTAGTCTAAGTACCTTAAGCAAGAGTTGCCCCCTATAGCACAAGAATAATAAGAGTAAAGAAGAAATTGAGACAACGGTAGTAATGTTCATTTTAATTATGCAGTTAAAGGATTATTCCTGTGAGTGGTTGTGTAGGTAAGGCCCCAGTGCACTGCTTTGCCCAGGGACCTATAAAGCTGTTAAAGAGGCCCTGTATTATCCCTAATAACACTTTTTACCTATACCTGTACAACTACTCATTAATTCAAATATCTAATCAGCCAGTCATGTGGTAGCCCCACTGTGTGTCTCTTTTCTCCCCAGCCTCCTGTAGATGGCCAAGCGGACAGTGGTAGAGGATCTTCTGTATCCTCTACCAGGTCTGACAGGACGCTGTTAGTTCCCCTCAGCAAGCAGACCAGGTAGAGAATACAGAAGATCCTCTGCCGCAGTACATGCAGCCACACTTCATGAAGTGACTGGCAGGAGGGGAGCACTGTGCTGTACGCTCCTCTCCTGCCTGTTACCCATACCTTACGGCCCCTGGGTCACTGCTCCCTAAGTCGACTGCTTGTGCCCCAATCCACTTTGATAATAAATCCGGTAGATCATACCTCTAGTAATATAACAGTGCTACTGGAACAAACATGGAGAGCTATGGATGAAAGCACTAACTCATTCTATGCCTTAGAAGCACTTCATCAGAAAATGTCTTAGCTCATCTCAAGCTGGTCTCACAGATATGACAATAATGGTCTCCAGAAACAAGTTGTAACAGTTCTAAAAGGGTCCAGAGGTAAATTATGCTAAAGCATTTTATAAGCTATTTTTCTCTACATACAACGTATTCTTATTATTCTGTTTATTAGTGCTTGCTATTAATCTCTACTGCAATCCCATAGCATCATACCATTAGATACTATCAGGTAGTCAAAATACAAAACTGCATTTATAAAAAAAACCAACAAAAAAAAAACCAACAGATGTTCATGGCTATACAACTAGCCTTACGGTCTAGAGGAAAAATGGAAATGTTTTACCTCGTTCAAGTAGAAGGGTAGAAGGGACCTTTACCTATTTCAGCCTACTAAGAAAAACAAACCAGCCTTATCATTTGCAATGCTGCAAACAATATGAGGTCTCCATTCCTGAAGATGTGTGGTGTGCATTGATAAGTTACCTCTAGTTCATTCCCTCATCCTGGTAAATGCTACGCAAAAGCAAAGGCATTCAGTTATGTCAAGCTGTTGTTTTTATTATAGGGAAAGCAGACAAAGGCTACTTTATTAATTAGCAAGCAAGTCCAGAAATATGGGGGTGGGAGGTATGGTATAAATTAACAGATTCATTTTTGTACATTGCCAAACTTTTTTGGACCAAGGTATTTAAATGAGTTAAACACTTTCAAGGCAAACCTACTTAAAGGGACTCTACAGAACACCATATCACGTTTTTCTGAGTGTCATGACCCTGCCTTTCATTGCAGGGTTAAGAAGCCTCAGTGGTTGTCTGCCAGACAGCCACTAGATTTTCTTCCATTGCTATAACCATTTTATAGCTCAAATGACTCTCCTAGAGACCACTTGATTGGTGCAGCGCAGTGTTTAACCACGCACGCACACTAACCTTCCTGTCCCTACCGTATGGTGGAGGGAGACAAAGCCCCAGCACAGAAGCCAGCGCACGGTTGGATATAAGGTAAGTAAATCTTCTTTGTTAACAACTGCGCGTGGTACAGCACCTACATAGGTAGGGAGCACTATAGCGTTAGGAATACATGTTTTAGAATGTTCCTTTAATGTTTCTTTTTACCTTTATCATCATGTTATAGAAATGTCACTTTTACTTACTAAATGGAACACCATAGTATTAGAAACACTGACATGCATTCCTGATCCTATAGTGTTAAAAACACCATATAGCCCCCATGCACCCCTCCCGCCCCCCAAATATAGTAAATCTTATCTTTATTCCAGTCTTCTACTGCTGGCTTTGCCTCCCATCTGCCTGCTTGGCTGACATCATCAGAAGTGTTGATCAAAGGCCAATCACAATGCTTTCTCATTGGATTGGCTGAGACTGTCAAGGAGGCAGGTCAAGGGCAGAGAGCTAGAACAAGCCAAACACAGCCCTGGCCAATCAGCATCTCCTCATAGATCAGTGTGCAGCACTGCCCCAGGAAGCACCTCTAGTAGCCATCTGAAGAGTGGCCAGTGGAGGTATCCCTCGGCTAAAATGTAAACACTGCATTTTCTCTGAAAAGACAGTGTTTCTGCAAAAAGCCTGAAGGGAATGATTATACTCACCAACACAAAAGCAGTAAGCTGTAGAATTTATGGTGACTATATTGTCTCTTTAAGACTTACTCGGTAGATATGTATACTTCTAGTCAAATTAACTTGAAAGTTTTAATAAACTGCCAGATGAGAAACCCAGTATGAATTCTGACACATTCAACCTACTACCGACATGAAGTCAATCTCTTCACGGCACATTGTGAGGTTCCGTGAGGCACACCAGCTGAAAACCACTGATATGCTATATTGCATTTCAAAGGGACAATTATCTTTTTTAACAATTCTACCTGGGAAGGCTCAGAGCCTCTGGGTTTTTACTGTGAGTGGACAGATGTTAAGGATCATGGTGTCTGTTGCTGATTCATAGCCTCAGATCTGGTGATATCTGAGCCTTCATCCACCAGATTGTTTTTATATCCATGTGTCATGGTAAAAATGACTACTTGAATACATTTCCAGGATAATAGAACCACTGGTTACTACAGTTGCAGAGAAACATATTCAGGGTTATTCAGTTAAAGTTTGAAAAGTCAGGAATTCTAAATTAATTCAAAGTAAATTTTAAATTTAAGACCAAAAAATAGCTGAAATTAAGTCAAGGGTGACTTTTTTTCAAATTCTTCTATATTAAAATTCACTTTAATTAGACATCGAATTCCAGACAATTCACTCTTTCTTGAATAATAATTAAGCTATAGGCTTAATAGTGTCAAAGTTTCAAGTTAGCTCATTTGAAAAGTTGCTTGATGACAAGTATCCCTTAAAATTTAACTCCGGTTACAACCAATTCTCAGCATTCTATTCAACCCAGAAATACTAATTCTGTAAACATAGTTGAGGCATGCTGTGCCGATACCATAAAGCTGTTATAGTACATTGCAATAATATCCCTGGTATTCTACCCAGTTGGTGGTTCTGTGGTGATATTTCAAGGGTATTAGAGAGTATTAAGCATGGATTTCTGGGTCAGCCGCTGTAGCTCTTGACAAAGCAATATCTTTTTTTTTTCCTAATTCTAAAAGGAACTTGTTTGAAGAGACATTTAACATTGTAAACTCACTTTGTTTAAAAGATGACCATAGTTTTTAAAATCAAAAGTTTGTTTATGAGCAGAAAATAATGAGCATGTCCTCTAATCAGATGTACCATAAATCTTTTCTTGTTTTCTAAATTATTTTCTTTCTGAGATTATAAACAATCAAACCCCCTAACTGCAATTGTATTTATCTGCACATGTACTAACTAAGTTAAGCAACAGAACAGAGCTAAACAAAAGACACAAACATTTCCTATTTCATTGAAATGAGCTAAAATCAGAGGTCTTTACAATGATGTGAAAATAAACGTAACCCATTACAGAAATAAATTACTTCTGAATGCCCTGAATCCTAACAGACCATTTTGGTATTTTGTTGAGCTATATTCATTTTGAGTCTGATGTACAAGATCAGAATTAAAATTTAAATAGAGCAACACAAGTTTTACTTATGATTTGCCATTTAGTTGTGTCTGCTGTCTTATAGGTGAACAATTTAATCACAATCTCATTCAAAAAGCAGCGAATATTTATCAACACTATACAACCTATGGACATTTTATGCTGTTTTTTTTGAAACAGCAAACAGTTAAAAACAAAAAGTCTTGTTCAGAACAATGTAGAATTCTATTATATCAACTTACCTCAATAGAGTCTCTGGTTAAGATTTAGTTTTTTAAGAAAATGGTAGAATAGTTAAGATTCGGGCAGTCAAGTGGAAAGGTCAACTAGTCTGGTAGTCAGAAATAGACCTGAGCTAATGTGTGAGAGAGAGAGGTGATATAGCCGTGATATGGAGACTGTTCAGCTGTCACTAGAGCCATGATTCAGCTCATAAATAATTGATTAGATGCATAAGAGTCACACATGATCCCCCATATATATATATATATGTACCTCTTACATTACATGGCACAGCTTTGTCCACTGTTTTCCTGGTATGAACTTTAAATCTATAAGGGTCAAACTCCAGCAGGCCCGATTCTGTTGAATGATATAATATTTTTACATTTTGTTACTTATTTAACACTAGGAGGAAGGGAACATTTAGGCAGGCAGAGTTTGTAGAAAATCCCTTGTGGGCACATTTGCCCATTGCCACTTCAATTATATCACCTTGTTTTATAGGTGTTGTAATCAATTCTTTATTTAAAAAATATAAATTTCAAAGCAACATCTCATTATGACCTTGATTTGGATAATGTTTCAAAATATCCCAATCTGTTAGAAAAACTTTTCAATGGTTTGTCTGTAAATTCCCAGAGACCTTACTGGTGGCCTCTCTAGATAAATCATTTGAAATATTTTTCTAACAGCTTGTGATCATTTGAAAAGCTTATCTGAAAAAAAATAAAGGGACACTATAGTCACCAGAACAATTACACCTTAATGCAGTTGTTATATTGTATGTCCCTGCTGCAGGCTTTTTAATGTAAACACTGTCTTTTCAAAGAAAAGGCAGTGTTCACATTGCTGCCACTGACATTCAGTGAATGCTGAACGCTCCTTATAGAGATGCATTGATTCAACGCGTCTCTATGATGATATAACCTCATAGGAAAGCATTGGATTAGCTGAGATGGTCAATTTTGATGATCTCAGTCAAGGAGGTGGAGCGGGGGCAGGGCCAGCCAGAAAGGACCCCAGCTGCATTGAAATAAAGGTATGTTTTTACCTCTGTAACGGGTGCAAGAGGGAACACCACCTAAAATATTTTTTACATGTTTTTCTTTTAAATTGAGACTTATATTACTTATATCACATATATCACATTGATATCACATTGATAAATTTCCTGACTACAAAGCCTGTTCAAAAATGCAAGGTCACAGGTTCAAATCCCAGCAGGGTCAACTCAGCCTTTCATCCTTCTGAGGTTGATAAAATGAGTACCATTAATTGGGTAATAATAACATTAATTACTGTTTAACTGCCGATTTGGTTGATTCCGAGAGCGTGCGCTCAAAAGTGCTATTTAAGGTGCTATATAAATACTAGTTAACATTATATTATTATTCTAAGAGCAAAAGTGCTATATAAGGTGCTATATAAATACTAGTTAACATTATATTATTATTCTAAGAGCATATTGTAAAAAGCGTAGATGTATAAACCAATATTAACATCTGTTTAGACAATCAGCTACGGATCACATGGTATTCTGCAGTATTTACAATACACAATGAGATCACCTGCTATTTAAAGGGGAGCCGTCACTCCCCAGGATTTTTAATATTATGTTTACTTATCCCTGTATTTACCAAATGTGTTTATGAGGTGTGAAAGTAAAATTAAATGTAGAAATCCACACTGCTTGATCCTTCAACTGGTAAAGTAGAACAAATGTTTGTCAAATATCCCCTCTTCATTTGCATAGCTTTCCTGAGTCTGATCTGGATTATGATGTCATTTGTTAAATTATTGATGTAACTTTAATGTACATTGTAACTTTACTGAACATTTTATGTAAATATTACATGAATAGAAATTAAGGTTATCACTATGTTATATATATTTTTTCTAAAGCGGAACCATCACTTCTTTGAAAATTGCACCATCCAAAAACACAATGAAAATCACCAGGGGAAGACTGACAACATTGGCAAACAAATAGCTTTTTTTCTTTCACAAAGTATACAGATTTCAGTATGGGTGGTCCTGCTGCTTGGATTTGACAGACTAAGGCTGCGGGAGTTCCGAGGTGTGACCTCATGTATCTCTGGATCATCTGTACAGTGTGAATAAGCATTCAAAAAAATGCAGATTTTGTTTCCCACAACTCCGCTGCCACCAATGACAACCAGTGTGTGTAATGAATGTCATGAGCACTGTCTTACAGAGCACAAATTTCCAGCCCATTCACAAAACCACACAGTGCCATGCTAGATAAATCCCTGCACAATTTCTGTTTACTGCTTAATTCCCGCAGTACTGTGCCAACAGACATCCCAATAAACCTTCAAATCAGCATCAAACATCCTGGGAAATGATAATCTCCCTTTAAAGGGACACTCCAGACCCCTATCACACCTGAAGTGCTTTATGTGTGAAGAGTGTGTCCTCTGGGCACATTAATAAATCAACCTGGTTACATCCCCACTTGCTGTCAATCAGACAACCAGTCATGTTACTTCCTGGTTTCTTAGCATAGTGGAGCTAAACAAAAGAGACAGGAATTGCTCAGAGCACCTGCTCTAAACAGTGATTTACATTTTATTTGGATTTGGACACTGGAGTGTCCCTTTAAGTCCCATTTCATCATCATTTTGCAAAGAGGATTGTTGTGATTATATTGTGTATTGTGGGATGTCCTTATTAATAATCTGTTATAAACATTTTATAGTGGATTCTTTCCTTTATAATAAAATACACTTTTCAGGGAATGTTTTAAAATACATTTATTGCATGGTTATTATACAATCTATATATTATATATGTATTTATTTATTTCTGGTATTTATATAGCGCCAGCATAATCCGTAGCGCCTTACAATATTATCAGAGGGGGAGATTTAACTATAAATAGGAAAATGACAAGAAAACTTATAGGAACGATAGGTTGAAGAGGGCCCTGCTCAAACGAGCTTAGAGTCTATAGGAGGTGGGGTATAAACCACAACAGGGCAGGAGGTAGTGTACATGTGTTTAAGATTTATTGCTAAGATATTCATAACTGAGCCCATAACTGATCTTTTGTTATTCGCTAAAACATGTATATCAATATCTATCTTGTTATGTTATTGATTTTCCTGGACTTTTACTAATGATTTCTGAGCATCTGTTTGATGTTTAGCTTGTTTATGACTAATTCCTTGAACAAAACACACCACGCTTTGTTTGTTTGCTCATAGTTATAAAAAGTACCCTCTACTCTTTGTTAAATTATACTGACAAACAGTTACACATCCAAATTTCATTAGAAGAACTGTTAACCCCTTCAAATCCAGGATTGAGCTAACTCCTGGTTATCAAACCAGTTTTGACATATCACTGGTCCGTAGTGCATGGGTAGTCAGGCTTAGGCTCTCCAGATGAAATGGACTTCATCTCTCTAATATTCTACCAGCCATAATGCCACCAAAGCAACAGGGGGGATGTAGGTTACCACACCTGGAATGCAAAAGGTAGCCTACCCCTGCATAGTGGTTATGGTACCATAATGTAACTAGTCAAAGCATTTGCTAATGGTTTGACAGCTCACCTGTAGTTCCACAGGAACCAGTCACTTCCTCCATTGAGAGCCAGAAGCTCAAGCATTGGAGCTTACATCCTGTCTCCTGAACTAAGCCTTACTTTGCAGGACCAGCTCCTTGGCTAAGAACCTCAGCTGTTGCAGGAAGCTTGCCATTCTCAGTGGAAGAACTGACCAGCGCCTGTTGGACCACAGGTAAGTTGTCAAACCATGATCAAACAGTGGTTATGGTGCTCGGAGTGTTCCTTAACGACGGGACTCTATGTACTATACCCCTACAGCTCAGTTTAGTGGTTATCAAACAAGGGTCTGAGAGTGTCATCCCATTTTTTTGTCAAAATGTATAAGAACCTGGACAGCAGAGACAGAATGAAAGAGCTGGATAACCCCACATACAAGGTCTTGATGCACATCAGTTTGTTAAGGTTTTGGAGCCATAATATGCTGTGATTAAGAAAAAAATAAATACAGTTTAGTTTTATGCACAATTGGAAAATGTTACGATTTCCACAATTTTATCCAGAAATTTGGAATAATTCTAATTTAAATTCAGCACAACTCACTGTTTAATGAATTAGCACCTGATGGTATTTAGTATTTGTGTATTTATGCATAATCTTTAAATACGAACTTAAAAAAAATAAAAAGATAAAATGTCTGTTATGTTTTGAAAACTGTGCCTCAACTCAAGTCCTAGTCTGCCAACTAACACTTACTGAATGTCTCTGGAAAATGATACCATTACACATGTGACTTTAATCCCATGTGTACAAAATACTGTCCCAACATGCTTTGCAAACAGAGGTGAAATAGGGTTTCAATTAAAGGGATGCTGTCCTGTCTGACTAATAATAAAAATCACACAATGTGAAAAATAAAGATGAAATTAGCTTATCAAACAGGGATTCATTATTTAAAAAAAAGTATTTTTACCACGCTATGTGAAACGATTCTCTATTTATGGGTTATGCAAAACATGGCAATTTACAAGAGTGATAAATGGGGGAAAAAAACAAGACAAAAATATTTTTTTTCATTACTTGTTTCTGAAAAGTTATACAAATGGTTTAAATGGCAAAACCATTGATTTTAATAACATCTGTAAGAATAAAAAAATTAAGTCTGTTTACTAGATTCAGAAAGACTAGTTCACCCGAGTTCAATTCAGCTATGGGAGTAATCAATTTGCATGGTGAAACCTATTTGATGTGCCTTCTAAGACAAGTACACAAATAAATTGACGAAAACTTGGATAACTATGAATGTGTTCCACACAAAAATTTAGCCTGCTCTCCCAGACCAGGCGAACCTCTGGAATTAACGCATCTTCCAGTGGGATATGCAGTTAAAAAAAATAAAAACAGACCACTCCCATACCAAGAAAAGGCTCTGCCAAGCATGAGACTTTCTCAATTTCAACAAGTTGATAGGAGCTATATTTGCCTTTTTACAATGCAATACACAGTTTTATGAAATGGGGTGTGTGCAGCGATTTTCCCAAACTGCTAACTGAGAA